TAAAGAATGATTTAGATGTGCTCGAAGTACTATCATGCAGTTTCGTCACACCGCCTTATTTCGCCACCTCATACATACGTTACGTTGCAGATATCTCATTCTCCTTTCTACTCCATTTTCCAAGCAAAATAAGCATAGAGAAGCTGCTTCTGCAGTTACATGTGCCATATTTGGATCTGGCGGATCAAGGTACAGTGGTGTAACAACAGTATTTGGCTGGTCGTACAGTGCTGAGGGTTCCCACCTTCTGTCCTACCGCCTTCTAGACCGCCTATTCTACTTAGGCATCCCAACCTCGCGATTAATGGATCAGTCATTAAAATGCTATGGAAGTACCGAGATATTCAAAGATCTTTTAGGTGCAATGTCTCATCGGGTTTCCGATGTCTTTTAGTATGATGAATGGCATACTAGCTATTGAATTGCATGAATTCGGGAGAGTTTTGGCCGGCAGTAATGAAAAGTGGGTCAGCGGCCCAAAGTATCCACGACCAAATACTTTTGTTACATCACGGTATCTCCGAAGATGCGGTAATGTACTGAAATATCGCAGTACATTGCTGTTCAATGACGTTGTACCTGACTCGTAAAGTAAATTGGAATAAGTACCGACGCGCACATGATGGACGCGGATTTCCAGATAGTTTGATATGATGATATATAAGTTTTACTGCTTTAGCGAGTTCTCTATGCTTACTTTGTATAGAAAGTAGAGTAGAAAGGAGTCCAAGGTATCTAATAGGTATGTGCGACATATTCGCGATCCAACGGAGTTTCACGGAGTCAAGATTCCCCGTTGTCACAGCCCCGCTTGTCAGATGTAATTTTGATAGCGACTTAATTGTCGTAAGGAGAATATGGCTAAATGAACGTTCGGTGAGTTTGACGAACTGACTACACAAGATGGTGGGAACTTTAGGGTCCTTGAGGGAAGTACCTCTCCAATATTTCGCCACGGTTATCCGCTCGTTACAGTATACATACGTTAGTAGACGGGTCAATGTTTGCCTGTTCTAGAAAGGTGCTGGTTCCACCACAGTTGTGGGCCGTCGCATTTAGTATGGTGCACTCATATATTCTTTAAGCCAAATTGCTTAGTTTTTGGTTCGAATTGATCCCTATGTCAGATCTCATGCAGTGGTTGAAAGAACGATAGAGTCACACAAGGAGATAGAACCATTGATCTTGGTACATTTCAAAGCAAACGGTCTTAATCCAGTACGCAAATAAATTTTGGGTTCTAGTAGATTGCTTTGAATCTGTAACGCTTAATATATTCAATCGCTTTACTCTTTCTCTGTTCGCAGAAATTTGCTCGATATCAAAGTGTAATTCCTATGGGCTACCTTAGTTCAAAAGTAGACTACCCGTTGTTTATCTCCTCATACAGTCTCAAAATTCCTAGATTTTGCAACATCTGTAATATGTACTATTCTTAGACCACTGAAAGTGTCAGGTAAAGCCCTTTCCGTGTGTTATTTCTGAGCCAAATGTATTGAAACATTTTATCGAAAGAGCAAGATCTAGCTCACCAAGGGTATATAATGCATGGTCTGACACTCTAGATATGATATACGTGCATACTCTCATCTCAAAACGCTATGAAGGGAGCCCTGTTTATTCTTATTCTAATACGCCCCATAATGGCTGCGGTCGGACATAGCCATTATACCCTAAGACACATTCGTCACCATGGGTCCCACTTTATCCCGAGGAGCCTAGAGAGAAAAATCGTAACGGACAGTACGCTGCCGACTGAAAGTCATAAGGCCACACCCTCATCTACAGCCCTAACAGATAGCATAAGCAGAACAACCTCCTAATAGATGTCACTTGTCTTGATTCTGCTGATATTCCTACTAGTATTCCTCAAATAGTGGGACGGCTCACGGCTATTCCTACCGCCGAAGCGACGAGTACCAGAAGGAAAGAGAGCACCTCCAAGCCTTGCGTGTGTTGAAAATGGAATTTGAAGTACATTGGAAATGAGGTTTGTCGATTTAACAATTTTATTTATGTACCACAGTGGCTCAAAATCGTTGCCTAAACGGACTTGAGGGTTTCATACAACTCCTTCTAGCTTAGGATCTTGTTCTGTGGGAGTCTTATGTGATGAAAGGGAAATGATACAAAGTGGACCGAGGCTATGGTCGAGATCGTGTTAGCAGTCCAAACAGCCAGCTTGGAAGGGGCTCCAATCACCCGGATGTTACAGGCTAAATTATATGAAAAAGGAGGCAGATAATTGAAGGCACCATTATGGTAGCCGAGATATGCATTGGTTCTTGTATATTCATGTTGTTTGACGGTACCTGCCAACACAAATGTCGTACATTGGATTGGCTTGACAAGTCTTCATTTCTACTTCAAACCGTCTACAGCCAGAATCAAATGTTATCTGTCACTTGAAAGGGAAAACTGTATCATCTTTCTTGAATCACTTTATTGCGAGGAATCATCAGAAACGCACTGGAATTTTGAGAACGCCGAAGATAACCACAGCATATTTCAATAAATCCGTAGACACTGTACTAATTTTCTATCACTGACAATTTGATCAGTACTGATATGCTCGCGGAGGACCATTTCATCGACTCTTCAAGAACATCTTTTGGTGCCTGGAACTGAAAATGAGCCATTATGCAGCAAAGCCAATGCCGCTGTGAGACGGGCTGACATCACTTATTTTTGATCAAGACGGAGCGCCCAGCTAACTCGCCAAGCTTGGGTCAGTTACCACCGATGAGTATTCTCTGAAATATATTGCCTGGCGCATGAATGACAATTTGGGCTTGGGCTGTTTGCATGCTTTTCCCTTTCAATCGGATCAGGCACAGGACATTCGGCATATGAATAATTCATAGCATATGCCACAAGGGAAATCTTGTATTCTGCAGTAAGTTCTTGATCAATCTAGCTGGTAACTAGTCACAGTCACTTTCTCTCCGTGCCTTGAAATAGTCATTTAGGCATATCATAGTAAGGTATGTTCCATATCTTAATCGTATTAAGCTACGCGTGTCTATTGCATGATCCAGGTGACTCAAAGCAGTAATTTTGATATGGAAATCCCACAAAAGGGTGGAGTTGCAATCCCCCCTCAAAGAAAAGGAAAAAAGAAAAGGAGAAAAGAAACTTGCGAGCGCAGAAGTAAAGCAAGCCTTTACACGAAGTACGCCTCAAACTTCTCCAGAGATTATAGTGACAAGCAAGCTCTCAGCAGCCTCGAAGAGATGTTGTAGTTCCTCGGTGAATTATCGGTTCATGATCCTCATCCGTCTTTCAACACTACCACAGCTTCCAGCAGTGTCTGTGGAAGCTGACCTAGCTGCCGAGGTAGTCATCACATCCGGGGCTGAAGTTGACCCTGGTTTAACGGAAGTGTGCTCTGTACAGGAGTATGAACTAACAGAAGATTTTTTGGAGTTACCTGAAGCGGATGCGGCCTGTTGGGTCGATAAAGGGGTCATGGAGGAGCTTTCAGTGGTGGAAGACGTCGTTGTTGAACTCCCTGTTCCCGTTTGTTCTCCACATGATAGTTTTTCACTGCTATCGACATCGCAGATTTCATCTAGGAAAAGCAAATAATCGTCAAATCTTCTGAGGGTAGCATAGAAAGGGCCTTCACTTACCGAGGCCGATGAAGGATACAGCCTCCCCACCGCAGTCGGCACTGAGTAACGTTGCAGGTTCAAACAAGCTTGGTTTAGTACAGGTGGCGCTTGCCGCTCCACTGTAGCAAACAACTAGTTAGTTTTCATTTGTGCTTTGGGCGATACTGGGGCTGTATATACTTGAACTCAGGTTGAAGTTTGTCGTAATCATTAACAAGGAAATCACCCAGAGTAGCCTGGCAAGAAGTCAACTCGCCAGATTCCGTCTTGCATTTGCATTCCAAGACAGTATTTGATTTATGATTCTTGATATTCACAATGTTACAATCGTGCGTTAATTCTGGATAGCTGAACTCGGCAGACACTACGCCAAGTGTAACCAGGAAGAGCAAGATGTGTGCAGTATGCATGTTGAATGATATTCTTCAAGGCAGAGATAGGAAGCTTGATTGAAATCATAGATCTTCACTTGTATGCATTGCTTTTAAATGGCAGGGCTCCTAAGGGTGACACGCTGCCTGATTTATATTTGCACAATCCTCTTTTGGGCCCCAGTAGTACAGTACAGAGCGACCGATGAGGCATTGCATATTTGGCGCAAAATTTTGGGTATAGCTTTCTTGGCTCTACGTGTAACATCCTACCAAAATTATCACCTTTGCGCCTTGACAAGCGACCTACCCTCTGGTCTTCGTGGATGCTTTCCCGTCTAGTTTCCACGCAGGAAATCTTTTGTAGCTACATGGACTGGTGGAATTAATTGTCGAAGATAGTTATAACTGCTGGTTTACTAGCTATTGCAAATTCACAGCGAATACTGTTCATATAGTACCGCGCAAACAACTTATGGTTGCAAGTCAATGATGTAAGACTCTTTGACATTGTCAAATGTTGAGTTTCGTGGCTGGAAAGATTTATTCAATGCCTGCGGGGGAGATTCCACCGGTGAAACATACACACAACCAAACGTCATTTTGCATACAAGAGGACAGAGAGATTTTGAAAGCGCTGATGCTTTGCTGCAGTCTCAAGGCGGTCATCTGAAGTGTTTCCACATTATCCTATTAAAGGGCAGGAAATAAAGGAAACCACTGCGGATGGATGCACATTACACGATGAGACAGCTCCACAGTAAATATCATTGAATATCTCCCATTTGTCTTGACTTTGTCAATATGATTCACTGATAGTAGAGCAAGGTTGAGTTTCAGGATACTGGGCGAGATTGACGGCCATTAATACGGGCAAGACCTTCTCACAGACGATCTTCGCGCCCATATTATCACTCGCCGCCGTTCTTTTCCAATTTCAATCCTCAAGTCCTCTCAGTCTCATACCCTCTGAACGAAAGAAAACAGCATGTTCTTCAAACGCCCTCGCTCACTCATGGAACGAATTTTCACTGGCCCCACAAACGCCGACATCCTGGATGAAATCCCGGAGCCCATCACCAGGCACATCTACGAGATGCCCATTGGTGGGCTTGCTACACTACCGGGGGCAGCATATCTTCGCCAAGTACCCAGCTCTCTGTTCCGTGTCTCCAATCTCACCTTACTTGCAAAGCGCCATGTCCAATTCCATAGGCTTTTGGAAGGTCCCGAAGGCATCTTCAATGTCACGAGGCAGAAGGAACTGCATGATGTCTACTTGGTTGGTGCTCCAGAGAGGTGGTCTCGTCTCTTGAGAGGCCAAGTCCATTCTGCATGGTCTCTCTACTGCGAGGGGCACTTTTACTCTCTTGCAAAGGGAAGTAAGGGTGCGCTCATCGTAAAAGAATTTCAATGCTCAGACCCAGACGATGTGAATCAGCGAGCTCTGTCGCCATTAATTGCATACCATTTGGGAAAGACAGACTATGCACCAGCCCAGATTCATCGCATTGCCAGATGGGTTGTCACGAACATGTGCCAGCTAAGTTTCTCATCGAAAAATGATGGACATTTTGTCTCAGCGCTGACCCTTCGCATCATATGTACACCCAGATTAAGTACAGTGCTTTTAGGCAGTCGTTCCCAGATTTGGGCTCGAGACCAATGGATCGCAAGTGCCGGTTCGCAGCTGCCGATTCCCAGTGGATTTTATACCGGGTACATGATTGTCGGCCCCAATGAGAATGCTCATGGCGGCTGCGCGAGGCAAGGCCGCATCTTCGAAGTGGAGACGGCGGCCCGATGCCTTGCTGGCTGCTGGACGAAAGGGCTTTTGGGTCAGATCTCCCAATCACTTCCCAAAGCCCTCGCTACAGTAGCTTTGACCATGGGAGAGGCGCACGTCAACTATGGGCCGCCAAATACAACTAGGGGATATCTTGAAGCCCTTGGAGGACCACACGGTATCAAAACCCTGGACACTAGGCTGGAAAAGATGGACTTGTTGTCCTATCTGGACTGGGAAGGATCTCGTTGGGCAATTATTCTAGGCCTTCGTGAAAGTTTGTACAATGAGAATTTGGTGGCCTCCGAGTCCCTCGTTGACCCAATTTGAGTACAGTGGCCCCGCTACCAGAGTCCGTTGAGCTCGCTCACTGCTTCGGAACTTTGTACTACTTTCAGATCCATGGAGCTGGAGCACAAAAAGGTATTCTCATTGGTTTCCAGACATTATATTATGTTATAATTGACCATTTCTCTACAAGGCCCATATTATATGAGGATGATCTTAGAGGGTGATGACTCGTACGAAGTTGGATTCAACAGGGGGTTTGATGATCAGATGTTACCTTTGTTACGAAAAGGCGTAGGACAGGAGCGCGAAGCGTGGAATGGAAAGGCCAGTCCAGCTGATCAACAGCCATTTCACTACTGGGACAGCTTGATCCCTGGGCATTTTCGAGCATTGAAGCCACCAAAAAGGTGTCAGTATCAGATCCTGGTGGACAAGTCTCTGTCCTTTCCATCCGTCCCGCGGCCTTATGAGAGCGTCCACACCGGAAATAACCACTTGATCCCGCATGGCTCAAAGCATGGCTTCTGAAACGTGGCTTAGGAATCAAACTGGCGTTGGTCGATTGCTAGATCATTAAACCGGTATAAAAGCAATCAAGCAAGAGAGTAGATAAATGAAAAGTCGGCTGCCTGCTGGCTGAGTGCACTCGCCGCTATTTTCCGATCCAACACAATTAGCTTTGATATGAGCTGATGTATGGAGACTCAGGCTCCACGCTACGTTAGGGCTGTTCTTCTGAAGGGCTGCTTCTCACGGCTTGATAAGCTTACGTTGCTTTCACCTGACATTGGTAACAAAATGAGCGATTTTCCACTGCGGAATTTGATTTTGAGACCGAGGCAGTCTGTAGACGACAGTCTCAAGTTCAATAGATTTGAGCTCTCTACAGATGTCATCTGGAACAGACCTCAAATATAGAGAAACATTGAATCCTATCAAGGTGAGGAAAACAGAAGTAGCTTGGCACATTGGAGGATCTATTCCCAAAGTGTTACCGTCCGTGACTGGTAATCACAAGCATATCTGCTCAAATTCTGAGACCCCAAAATAAGAGGCAGCATATGCAAGGAAGGTGCGGAGCTCCCCAGGATATAAACTCTAAAAACACAAAACAGCGAAGAGCATGTTGCAGTCTATCAAGAGAAGGCCGGTACTGTACATATTTTACAGGTGATACATCCCAAGATATCTTGCCAAGATCCCATTTTGATTTCCACCCTCCCCCTGTCAATTCTGCAAGGCTTCGTGAGCTATTCGTCATTACTGCTTCTGAGACTTTCTACCAACAGGCGGACTGCGCTCGCCCTCGTGTCACCCTCCTTTACGCCTCCCTAGAATCACTTAAGCACATGTTCAACCCAATGATTACTCCGTTCTTTCTTTCGCCATTTTTTCTGGCGAGGAGCTGATTAGGAGTGAGGAGGACAGAGGCATGAGTTTAATAGATCATGATCGTGGGCGAGATGGGCGATATCCTGGGCAGCATTCTTTTCCTTGCCCCGTAGACCACATACCGTAGGTGCTGCTTACGGAAGAAATTGGGAAGCTGGGATACTCTGCAATAGGTCCTTGCTGTGCTTGGTTGGTATCGTGGCATAGGGCACTAGACTAAGGGTCTATAGAGTGTGGAATTACAGATCGGCTGACAGTATTTCGTGCCATATCCTAATCGTCTGCTGCTATGGGAAGTAAACAGAATGTCGTGTCACTTGTTTACTCCTATCAACATCCGTCTTTCATCTGAGAGAGAGCTATCACCAGCTCGGCATGATCTGATAACACGGTTCGTATTGAGTTCTAGTCAATTCAGTCTCATCTTTATCCCAGGACCGTATGCTACATCATAATGTGGTGACCTGCAATAAACATTTTCCAGCTATTCCATAGCCACATGGCTATGGAATAACCCTTTGGATCATTCCCGGTGGCACACGTAGCCTTTGGCATGTGTGATTTTTATTTCACTTTTCTTCTTTGCAGATTTAGACACTGTTCCTGGAAAGTCTCTACCTCTTTGTTTGAAACACAGATAATCATACTATGCCGGCCACTTTGCGACCTTTGGTTCTAAAACCGGCAACATATCAGCCTAAGGTCTCACAGGGAAATCCAGCCATCCATTATCGCCTCAGATTCAATTCCCGCTTAGATGTGATGACCACCGTCATCTTGCGGACGGTGACAAGTCAGGTAAAAACAGGACATTATGCAACTCAGAATGATACGAGGCTGCATGGATTCCGAAAGTACCGAGCGCAATTCATAGGGAAATCATTGCATGCAATTGAGAAGCTGATGGGAAGATTCAGATCCTGGAAGTTGGACCAACATCAAATGAAGCATCTGCTTATGCCGATTCAAGTCTTTCTTCATGTAGATCAGATGTCCTTCTTTACCGTGTCCGAGCACGCGTCTATGACTCTGGCAGACATAGTCTTGGGCAGGAAGTAATGGCCCAACATGCTCTGTCACCATGCAATTTGGTCAGTTGTCAACCAGGTACTCTTGAATACATCCCTTCACAAAGCTTACTTGACTGACTTGGGACAGGTCCTGACTGAAACTGAAATTTTGGCATTTCGAGGGCTGCACCATACCAAGCTCAATCTGCAAAGCAGCCTGATATCAAACAATGGCGTTGTGAAGATTGGTAGGTAGCGGGCCATGATTTCACCAGTCCTGTACTCATGCAAGCCTAGGGGCGATCTGTCATATCGAGCCCGACGAACTTGGAGGCTGGGCCAGGACAAACGAAGCACTGGTCCGGCTCGCTACAGACTTGATTGGAGAATCCAAGGGGCCATGCTCCCACTGCATCGATACATTTTGTGAGAGTGACGGCGTCCGTGGATGCTGCCATCGCATATCAATGCTCGTGTTGATCTCCTTGCAGCAGCATTGAATGTCACCCGCAGTCTCACGGAGGAGCCCACGGATCTTCAAAGTGGTGCCATCGATAAAGCAGTCAAAACGGCTCTTGAGGTACGTACTGAAGCCACCTGGGCTGTCGACTGCTTCTAATGTACAGCTAGTTGAGCTTTTATTTGCTAGGCAAAGGCATACGCCTCGGTGCTTTGGCCGAATTACCTCCAGAAAGGTCTTTGGCGAGGTGATGCCAGTGCTGAGTATCACCGACCGCCATGGCATTATGACCTCGATTTCGTCGAGGAATGGCGGAAAGAAGGGGTCGGGAGAGGAGTACAAGCCAATTCCAGACCCGGAAACTGTTCGTCCGAGAAGATTTTATGGCAGAGGAAAGAAAGGAAAATAATTGGTTTGCAAACACAAACCACACACGGATCAGCCGAAGACAGAACGGAAAAGTCAAAATCTTAACAGCAAGGGAATAGTCCAAACTTAGATGTCGACTGTCGTGCTACCGTTAAGTGAGCTTTGATCCAGAGCAAGACGTGACAGCGGGGGATCTTTCAGACAAGGGCCTGTCAACCAGCAGCCGAGACATCTTATTGCTTCGTCACTGAACTAACAACTTTTATACAAATGAAATATTGGCTGAAGGCTGAATTTTCCCGCAACTTTTGGCTGGCGCAGCCACGTTGCTCTCTTCTTTAGAAAGCAAATATCGCATTTGGGCTCCACGTGCATAATCCAGTAGATAATTGCTTCTAGCCCACTGGTGAGGTCCACGAACCTTTGATAGATCCTCGTCCCACTAAAGCATCAGATTGATCTGTTAGGGGCTCTCAATACTTGCTATCTAGCCATGGTAAGGAAGGGATGTCGGCTTTTGTCACATCTGAACTGGAGAATGCGTCTCCCCTTGAGCCGGCCTACCGTAGTCGCTTTAAGACAAGATAATGAGATAAGTTTTTTTAGCTTTCGCTCTGTTTGATGAACATTTCCTGTCTCCTGTCTCTTCAGTTACCGCTGTAACTGATCACGATTTTATTCTGCTCGTTCATGTACGGCCCCACGGGAAACTCTGCTCCTTGGAGATTAGAATCGTTCGATAAGCCGCCCTTTATTATACATATTGGCCGCTCCAAATTGACACATGGTCATGCTTTTCCTTCTCAAGCTACTTTCGGCGCAGATCCGCTTTCGATTTCACACTACTGTACCTCCGTTCTCTGTTAACTTAGCCACTTAGTTTATCTTTTCAGACTTCCGTCCCAGCAGTCTTGCTATCCTTGCTAGGCCACACTATTCTCGGGGCTCAGATTTGGGTAGAGGAGAGGGGGGGTTCGGCAACCGACACGCCTTTGCAGATTGTTTCAAAGCATCGTAGCTTGGGTGTTCAAAGTATGGTCCTCAAATCTGGGACGGATTTGTGACTTAGAGGGAATATCGACCTGCGAGTGGACATGAAAGCGTGTGTTCGCTCCTTGGTCATCACAAAACATGTGCATAGTGCGTGCATAAATCGGTATCGTATCGCCTTTGTACCCTATTATGGCTGGCGAAGACTCTCACCTCCACGTGGTGCCGACATGAAACCTGTAAATGCCTTGCCTGAGATGTATTTGCAGAGCAAAGAAGAGTCACCACTGGCCAGCACCGTCCGCTGGCTAGGGCTACGGCGGGAGCGAGATCTCAGGGGTCAGGGGCCCTGACCCGACGCACAGGCGACAAGGGAACACTTTGAAAACCACCCGACACACGATTGCGAAACCGATCCTACAATCAGTGGACACAAGGGTCGTGGGATAGGACACCCTTGGGGTGCTCTCGGGCTGCTCTGTTGACAGGAGAATATCGCTGGGTCTGAGGATACACAAACGACAGAGCCAAAAGCAAAACCACGAACGACACAGCACGACTCAGCATGCTTGAACCCACACAGAGAACGATGAGATACTTTGGCTAGTAGGAGGGACAACACTGTGTTGCTTGGCTGTTCCGGATACAGCGAGGATACAACTGGGCAAACTCCTGCGAGATACGGTCAGCCTTGTCAGAGAGATCTCACAAGGTAGCGCGAAACGGACTTGACAATCTGTGGGGCGCAGCATATAATGGAAGCGACGGAAGACTGGGTGGGCGGACTGCAGATATGACACTTTCTAAATGGCTCGAGAGGACGGACGCGCGTGTCAGTCTACTGAGAGAATAGGATTTTGAAGATGACTATCGAGGATGGAGTCTTCGAGGTCGCTATGGAAGTAGGCTTCAGGTGCAAACTGGTGTTGACTTGCGGAACTGGCTGTGCCCTGTGAAGGATGCGGATGAGGATCGAAGGGGATGCAAGGTAGAGAATCTATGTAGATAGACATACTTCCACCTCTACAATGTATAATTCAGCGTGCCGAACTTAGTAATACAAATCAATACTTGAAAGCGGCGGCTCTGACACTAAGGAATCCCCGACAACAGTCAGGCCAGGAATTCGTCTGCCAACTGTAGAAAGCTACGGAGAAACGGAACCCAGATCAATATCCGGTGGATACCAACGAGCGAAGACAATAAACTGCGGGGTCTGGCGAAAGAACAGGCCAGAGCCGCGACACAAGAAGATGCTCGCCCGCAAGCGCGCGTCCCGAGAATGAAGTCAACAACACTGAATATCGCACGGTCCCGTGCAGTCCCCAGCAATGACCTGCCAGGGAACATAGGGAGACACGCAAAACGAGTTGATGCAGCACTCCCTGGTAAACACACCCCGCAGCTGTATGACCGATTATCGTGGAAAGAAGCGAGCGTGCTGGCTCAACTCCAAACCGGCATGGCACGACTCAATGGATATTTCTTTCGAATCAAAGTAGCAGACACGGATAGTGTGCGTGTGGACAAGCGAGAGAGACCGTCGAACAATTCCTATTTCGATGTCAAAAATGGACGGCGCACCGGACGGAACTACTACAATGCATGTGAGGGTATCACGTATCTGTTGATGAGGAGCGTGTCTTTTCAATAAATGGTCATATTAACAAAAGGTATAGTCGACTCTAGATACAAGACGTAGCGCGAGGAAGCAAAAGCAAGATAGCTTCCTCGCGTCCAGGGGAACCCAGATGCGCCATGTGGGTCCGCGTCTTCGGTTTAGCGCGTATGCCTCATCTATATCCTTGACAATGCACCAACAGCCACCGAGGAAATATATCCTTCTTCCTAGGAGGAAAGTCCCCTTCCGATGATCAGAAGTGGACGCCGAACTTAGAGGCGGTACGAGCCTCAATACGATTCGCCATCGCCACGGGCCGACTCGAGGCCACCTAACCATGCCGACGAACATAAATCACCCTTTTTTCCGATCTAACCCACCAACCACCTCGTGTCACAGATGCTAGACGCGCTTCAGCTGCCGAAAATAGGATGTTGAACACTTGGAGAAGCGCCTTCAAGCCAGCCTAATAACAAAATTACTAACTCACGAGAATCCGCTGCGACACTGCTTGCTGGAAATGACATATATGGCAAGGATTTATGCATGGGCTCTCAGGAGACACAGTTCTATATATATTATGACATGTATAGTAGATCAGAGATAGTTGCCGTATCGGCTGAGCCGCCGGGCGTTAATAAATTTTGTGTGTGTGTGTGTGTGTGTGTGTAAGCATCGCTCGAGATCCTCCTTTCGCTTGAATGTTATAAATGGCCAGCATGGCTTACGCTTACATTTCACGCAGAGAAAGACGTACTTTATGTCACCTAGATGATCCCTACTATAGAATATTCTCTTTGCCGAGCTAGTTCTGTATGGAGCCTTTACGGCTATAGTTTGGGAGCTCACAACGATCAGGCGGCAGTTTGAGTTGCAGTCAAGATTGACAAGTCGGGCTGACTCTCAAAGAACTGATAGTGCATCTCTGCTGCTGAATCTGAATACGATAAGCGAACGGCGGTCCAGACGAGGAATTTGAAGAAATCACCAGCCTTCATTGACATTTGTGCATAGAGCAGTTCCATATTGTACTCTGGTATACCAATTGGTGGCCATTACGTCGAGAAAGCACTCTGGGTGATGAACTTTGATATAATCTCGGATTTTGCCGAAACCAAGAGCTCTCCGCGGCGCTACGGAGGCAACATAAGAACGTCACTAATCCGGGTAATCTAGAAGATTTTGCTCCGTACGTGCGAGCTTCCTGGCCTCAGGATAACATCATAGATGACACACAGAACGTGGCTTACACGGATCCCATGTAGTGGTATATCCCTGGTCCGATTCTTGAACGTTGCGAAGTAGGTACTTGATGACTTGTATATACTTATTATTTGTCAGCCATGCTTAAGCGACGCGTTCATACCTGGCCAGCAGTATTTGCACCAGAGAGCTACGAGACGGGAACCCTGCGTAGATTGTAAACATTTCCCTATCGCAACCCTTAATTAGAACTTACGATGTAGAAGTAGAAGGCATATACTGCACTGGAATTTGTCCTAGAAACTCCAAAAGACAATGACTCAGCCCAACCATGCGACAAACTGGATATCAGGCACGGCTTGTCGAAAATCACTTTGCTTCAATCATTGCTTCTAGTTCGATCAACATCGTGCTCATGCGGTTCGTATGCTTGAAGTGGTGCGATCTACCACAGTATTCGTTCCAGTTGCGCATTGTGGTATTTATTTGGGTCGTTAATGGTGGCGCAGCAACTGCAGAAAGAGAAAGCAGTGCACCAATCAGCCACTTTAAGATGAAAAGGATTTGTGGCAGTTTTCAAGACTTTCTAGAATTGAAGTAGACTGAGCTTTGGCCAGACCGACGGCACTCTAGAAAGGCTGACCAGTATGCTGATAACGGAATGTCACGTATTCTGTGCGATGAATTGGTCTTCAATTCAAAGAGCCAAGTCCCAATCCCTAACACAACTACTGATGCCATTGGTTCACTGATTTAAATGAGAAGACATCTGCATTGACACTGGCTATTACAAGTAATGCGTTTGATTGCTGTGCTATCCATCGTGAGGGTTTACCCATACATTATGCCACTCTCAGATAGTCCTGCCTAACCGGACTGAAGAAAGATGGCCTTGACCTGCCTGGCCTTGGGTGGAGCCGAGCCATCAAATCAGCTAAATGGCGCCACGAGCAATTACACACGACGCTCAATCTTGAATTTCAAAGTATTTCTCATCGAGGTTAAGACACAAGACCAGGGTTGCCCTGTCGGAACGGACCGTACTTTTGATTCAATAGTACAGCGGTTCTCTTCGTATTCGCATGGTCGCTCGGTGAGAATGTTGGCTGCGAATACGGTCCCACGCCAGGCCGCCGTATTACTTGTTGACGATGAGGCAGAATCGAAACGTGCGTGGCGGTAGACGCAGCACTTTCGGACTGCACAGGACTCTGTGGTACGACAATGGCAGGTCCACTGTGTGCCCGCGGCGTTGATAAATCACGACTGTCCCGAGAGACTGGGAGAGACACAACAGAATCAAGGCGCTGCGGCCCATGACTTGGTGCTTGATCCTCCTCCCAGCTCTGATTTGCGAAACCTTGACCATATTGGACACAAGGATTCATATACTCTGATCTGGGAACTAACGATAGAGGAACATAACGTACTTCTTCCAGAGGGAAGAATTGCCCGTTCCCGAGCTTGACAGAAAAGAAGGCCTTTAAGAGCTGTTTATCAGCCTCTAGAGTAAGTTGAAATTCAAATTCGGACTCCTCCGTCTCAGTCCCAAGCGGAAACATTTCTTTGTGCGGAAGCTTTCCATAAAATTTCCCCAGGCGGGACAATCGGGCGAGAATTCGTTCCGTGGCCGGATATGTTATATTGCAGTCCCATTCGATGAGCCTGTTTTTTCGAATGTACTTGCCAAATGATTTCAAGTTGGCGGGGGGGACGTACATTTCCGTTTCAATTATGTGATCACCTTCATCCGTCGAATTAGGTTGGATCATTTTCGTGAATCGCAGACAACCTGGTAACTGATTAGGATCTTGACCCTGCGTGTAATCAGCCAAAACGCTGGCAACCTGCCTTTCGTGAAATTGAAACCTACCTCGCGAAGAATCCATCCAATGCCCTTGTGCCACATTCCAAGCTTCAGAGGCTTCCCACTTCTTGTATAGTCCCCATCGTAGGACAGGCCCAGATGACGTGTTACAACACACTCTTCAACGATAGGGCTGCGAGCATAGCACAGCGCTCCATGCGCTATAGCTTCAGGCCTAAAGGGGTGGTAGTCAGTGTTAGCATGTTTTCGACGAGCGCAGATCATTGTCAACCTACTCCGGCATTCGCCTGCATATTGCGATGCCAGTCTCATCAAGTATTCTCCGGGATAGCTCCTCAAAGAACCAGCCATTCCCCCCTACACCACCGCAGACCACTACAGCACTAACGAAGTGACCAGCAGACATCGCACTCTTACACAGTTCTTTGGCTAGCCCCACGCCTCCAGCAATTAAAGGCTCGAAAAATTCTGCAATGATCTGCCTGTAGAAGACAAATTAACTCATGAGCTTTGTTCATAATGAACTTAATGCATGGCTGGAAAGTATTGAAGACATTGGGGTCTCCCAGATGGAAAGAAGCACTCACGAGGGGATAGTGACGATACAGCCTTTTCCATCATAAAGGTTGTGGCTCGATTTGCCATTAAATGTGCGTTTGAATCGATCGATGTGGGAAGATATGTTGAGAGTCCATTGAATATCGCTGTACAGCGCATTCCAATCAGGGCATTGTTTCGTAAGCCAGTCGCGTGCGAATTGGTTGAACATTTGTCCTCCACCGGTAAATCCTATTCAACGTTCAGCAATCCATCCGGCTTGTACTTCGTCAATGAGGGCGCAGACCACGGCTGGGGCATGCCTGCTTTATCTGGCCCGTGCTATCCTCATATACTACCACGCCATCCTGGTCAAGATGTTAGTAAATACGTCAAAAACGGGTGGCCGAGAAGAACCTACAACAGTGGCGCCACCGAAGTCAATGAATAGTTTCGCGCCGCGTGGCAGATTGATGCCTCTTTTGCATTTGACGAAATAATAGGCAGCCGCCATGGCCTCCGAAACGGCCCCCACGACTTCCATTCCGACAGCAGAAGGCTCTTGAAGAAGAAGAAGCCTCAATGACTCACTGCAGCTGACCGGATATGTGAGATAGCATCTTATCGCGTCAAAGTTACCACCGTACTTTTGGTGGAGATGCCCTTTGACTGTATCCGAGATATGTGAGAGAAGCTTCCGGTAAAGGCTGGCAAGATTGACAGGTCCTAGTTGTGGAGCTGATGCTTGAAGCAACTCAAAGGACTTTGCTAGCGAATGGGCGTACGGTTCGAAGCCCATGGCGCCGAGTTTCCAGTCCCGGAAGATGTGAGCCCCGGAGTACGATAGGCCATCGGGACCGAAAATGCAGTTTTGTCCGTCTTCCGAAAAAGCTAGGGTTGTATCCAGTTCGGTGGTGGTTTTCTTCCTGTCCGCATCATCGCTCGACCGGAACTCCAAGGGGTAGTCGATCGAATCGGGGGAGTCGGGATTCTCGGAAACAAAAGCCTTGACCGTGGTTGTTCCGATATCGATCGTAATCAAAACTTCCGTTGGCGCTTCCTCACTGCGCGTGTGAGCCATCAAGGCGTGAGGTGATCGTAATTGTTTGGTAGTGTGGAGGCGTTGTCTGCACCACGAACCAACCCTCTCCCGGCCAGTCTATGATCACGTGATTCACGTTCCTACACTATCTATCTGAATGTCATGCATACTCCACGTGACGTGATATGACGCGTCCCGCAAGCGCAAGGAACAGATCAAGAACCCTTGAACTGTGACAGGCAATAAGATGTCATCCATCAAGGTGGCTTATGAGATCGAGTACGACTCTACTTGCTACAGTAATGTACATGTACATGTATACTATGGGCGAATCATGTGCCTCCCTTTAGTGAACATTTCTTCCATGTCTTTTTTTTCCTAATTCTCGCATGGCTTTCAACAGTCAAGTGGTCGTTGCTGCGTGCGTTTCAGACCTATATCTGTGAACTATTTCATCAGCGCGGTCTGTCCAGAGCTTATTCAAAAGTCATCCGACTCTTGCTCGATTATGACGGCCAAGGTTAGTTGATGCCCATGTTGGGGGTCGAGAGTCGGCGGGCTCTATTTTCGGAGATAACGTAGGCTGGATTTAGACCGTCCCTGAATCCAATTTCCACTTTGCGCAAAATTGAGCACACAATGGCGTGCATCGAAGGAATTTATAAAGCATCGATGATTTTTTTTTTTTTTTCAGAATGCCATCAAGGATGGGAGGTGTGGTGCTGCTGCAAGCCTCGAAGGGCCCGTGGCGAATAAAGCGAAATAACAGAAGAGGTGCCTATCGAGTCCTTATCGTTATGTGTCCTCGGTGCATTTCAAAACGCAGATGTCGCGGCCAATCGAGAGCTCGGTCTATAATGCGTTTGTCAGATGTCAGGACAGGCAGCTGGAATACCAAAAGCAGGGATCCAAGAAAGAAGGTTACGAAAAGTAGAGAATTGCCTACGTCTTCCCGTTTGACCGTCCTACTACAGCAAATTGCTTCATGTGGACTCCGAGGACTGTCTCAAATCATACAGCGAGAAGCCCAGAAGGTACTGAGTTCCAGTATGTTCCACTTGTCCGTTCTTTGACTTGCTCCGCCCAATGCTTAGCCTTGTTCAAGATCTATCTCTCATCGACCATCTCACCCGGCATATTTCGGGCCAAAGGCCCAGCCAGATCGATGACCAAACAATAGGCTTATCTGGTACGGGGCATCACGGCCAAGAAAATCGATTCTAGAACCGACTTCTCCATAAGTTCTTTTTTGTGGTCCCTCGGGATTTTGGCGTGGATACATGAGTGCCGCTGCCTGCACCAGATGAACAGCTGACCACTAGTCAAGAAACAAGGTCATGTTCAAGACAAGGTTTGGAAAGTAACTGGATGTGAGCCGCAATGTGCTGTGGGATGGCGAGACATGGCGAGACGGATTCGGAGTTGCATTGCTATTTTATTGGTATATAATAACCTCGGTCTCCTTGTCTACTGCGAAAGAGTCCTCGGCTGTGTTTGTCTTCGCAACGGTGGGAAGGCCCACATGCTACAAAAAAAAACAATCCGGGCCATTTGTCATCGTATGCCTCTGCCTAAGCCCTAAGCCTCTGCCGTTCGACCTCACTCGATTGTAAGCCAATATAGTTGTGTGAAAGCATGGAGCAATTAGTCTATAGATCTTCGCAAGCCACGTTCGGATTTTCCAAAGGCTATTACCTCATCCCTGGGCTCACCCTAAGCCTGTATCCAATCATAAGCGCCCTAAGCCCTAGACCCTAGACACTCTAAGGCTGCATCCGCCGATCGAAGGCGACCGCAGCTAAAGCTGATCTACTGAATCAGATGTGAAGGAGCAACTTAATAGGCACCCTCTCGATGAATTGAAGTCTCTCGTCTCGTAATTATCTTTACTAGGATTGGTCCTGACCGATAGAGCAGGTCGATTTTTGCCCTGAACTAGCATAACGGGGAGGTGGGGCTATTGACTGTAAGGGCAATGGACCAGTGAAAACATATAAATTAAGTCCTCGGGGACAGAGAAAGCGGTCCGGCCGTTGGAGTCTTCCGAGTCATTTCTCAGCCACAATGACCTTTGAATTTCCGAAAACTGATCATTTCGGCCTACATACATTCCCAACTGTACCTCGTACCTAGTATCCAATAACGCAAACAGCCATTTCCACTTGAAGCAGGCAGTCGGGCAGGTGAGAACATTTTCCTGTGGGCTCGAGGAAACAAAGTACTAAAATGGAGCCGTGTGTGGGAAAGCAGCGCGGGTTTATTTCATTTACAGGGTAGTAGGAAATACGCTACGTGCTTTGCTTTGCAGATTGTGTAGCCTCGAGGAGAGATTACGGAACAAATTGACATACCGCGAAAGCGGTAAAGCACCGCTATGACCTTTTGGGATGGGCTTGTTCATCGCTCACCCAATTTCCCCAGGTATTTGTATGGTATTCGGGCCAGATTCGGATACGGTGTCAAACACGCCATAGCACGGACAGTAGCTCCAGGGGTCACTCGACCGATCTTAACACCTTCAATCAAGCAATCATCAGATTCTATTGGACATTTTCAGTACCAGCCAGTTCATCAATTCCTCATCCTGTCACAAATCATTCCTTACAGAAAAGTAGTATCGGGGCCGTGCTTGCTGGGTTAGTGCCGAGTGAAAGATACCAAGTGGGTTTTGCTGAAAAGCACAGACGTGGGACATTCGGCGACCGCAGGGCCCGCAGGGCCCGCAGGGCCCGCAGGGACTGGGGTATTTTTTTCTCCTGTTCATCAACCGTCGTCGATTCTTATTAGTTGACTGCATGAGAGAAATTCCTAATTTGTCCAAAACATTCAGGGGAATTCTCGCGAAGCTCTCATGGAAACTCGTGCCCTCATAGGACCACCTCAAGCCCTAAGCCCTAAAACCCTATGCCCATTGTACCGGCTACTCACGACTTACTAGGTACGACACAAATGCTGGCTTTGAAGAAGTAGATTGGCCCGCCTGACCTGCATGCATTATTTTTTACTTGCTGCATAGTCGATCTTAATGATGGGAAACTCTCGATCGGCCCTGACCCGCATCGCTTGGGTGCATTGTTCATCCACGGCGGATTTAGGGTCCACAGTCCTCCGGTTCCCAGAGTGCAATTCATTGCCTGTTCCTGATGGTTTAACAAGAATGAGAACCACGACGGGAAAGGCATATGCCGGGAACACCCTAGTTGGAAATTTATTGCCGAATCTTTGACCAATGACCCTGGTTCTGACTAAGATTGCCGTAGCCCAAGATAGAATAGCAATGTGGATGATGTGGAACCAGTCTCCACACAAGCTTTCAACCCCTTTTTTTTTAAAAAAAAAAAAAAAAAAAAAAAGGTCTGTCATTGGGAGCTAGCATTGATGCAAGCAGCATAGGTAACACTCTCGGATGAAATTGCTTTGCCAAAACGAAACTACATGGGAGGAACCAGCCACCGGCAAGTCTTCTGTACATAGGATGAGATGCGACAGGGGGCTGGCGATATCCGAAGAATACTGGGCATGCATCTTCGCTGTACGCAGGAGATGGGGCCTGAAATCAGCTTGAAACAACGGCTTCAATGGTGTAGCTCGGATAAATGATACGGAAAGCAAAAAATAAAAATTAGATCAAAAAAATGATTTACAATATCAAATATGCCCGTGCTTGATTGATTTCTCCGTTGTACCGTCTCCCGCGTGCACGAGCGGCAAATTCCGCCACACGCGTTCGCCTAGTGCATTACTTGCAGTCAGTAAAATCATCATTAATTTGGCATACCCGTATTTTCTTGGTCGAGAACTGCACATTAAGCACACTGGTCGCAGAACGCGGATGTAAAGCTGATGCGGAAGCAAATGCGATGATGACTCGGCCGTTTGCCCAATACGAATTAGCATCTGATGCATGACTCAATGTTTGGTACGGCTTTAACTAGATGCAGTGGGTCTCTTCTGTGCGCTCAGAGAACGGTCTAGCCCGCGCGGACATAGGTTTTCCCCCGGCCAGAGCCGCTAAGCTCCTCTCGTCCTTTCATGTCGCGTGACTCAGATCATCGATATGCACATCACACCCGTGTTTATTGTATCTTGTTGCTTCACATAATGGCCAATCATTTAGAGCTAGTAGCAAGGTCAAGCCCCGCTATTCAGGGGTCGCGGTCGAAGAGTTGGCATTCATTGTATGTTCGCGAAGTAGTGAAGGAGCGGGGAAGCAAAACAAGGACGATGGAGGCTCGTGCCTGGTCGATCTCGCCGACCCACCAGCTTCTGCAGCGCCTCGTCCTGTGTACGGAAGACAGCTAAGTATCTGCCGATAGCCGGTTTTACCCAAGCAGTTGACTTCATAGAGGCGAGTAGTTTCATCTGACCCTGTTCCCCATGCCGCTTGCATCTGTCATGACTCCGAATAACCGGCTCTCATTTGATGGGGATTCGAAAGCTTGTGTGGAGAATGACCCAACATCATGCAGGTTGATGATTTATCTTTTACCTATAGCGATATCAGCTTGAGCACGTGCAATTAATGCTAGGATCGACAATGTATTTCACGCTAGGGTGGACCGGTATGCACGACTGTCCTGTCATGGATTTCAGAGCTGTCGGCCAATGATAGTCGAATTTTGATTGGAAAAGAAGGGAAAAGAGCAAAAGAAGAAAGTGATGGGGTAGAGAGACCTTTCGTGCTGGCCCAGCCGCCGAATCGGAAGTCCCATATCTGTACTTTTGATGGTGACATACCCCATTTGATAGCTTTCTCTTCGGCGCTAAACCAGCAAGCGCAGCCTCGATACTACTTATTTTTGAGAGATAGTTCGTTATTTGATCTTCTCTCGGGGTTGCATAGTCCGCAAAGCCCGCGGCGCATCACTTCCGGGGGCAATTTCCCTGCTTGACCGCCAGTGCGATATTTCGGAGACATAACACTAACCACACTTTAGGCGGCAGTAGCGACAGGCGAATATCCACTTGGCCATGAGAATAAGGGGATCTGGACTCTTCTGGAATCCGAAAAGGTAAGGGTATGTGTGGAAGGAAATGCGAAGGTAATTATTCCCGCACATCTATATGGCAATGGGGCGATTCGGGGGGAGAGCTTTCCCTTTCTTTTGTGACGTATTTGGAAGCTCCGAGAGAGACTACTCTAAATATATATAGGGCCTGTAAATCTCTGATCGAGTCCCGTAAGATGTTGACAGGCTCGTATACCAATTAGCAAAGCACATGAGATTGCAGATTAAGTTCTTGCTTTTGATATTGTAGTGGCTATTCATAAGAAACAAAAATATTTGTTTTCCTTGTCTTCGGAATAAGTCTGGGCGGAGGCTGATGCGCAGCGTACTAGCCGTTGTCGGCCGTTGTGCCGGCCGTTATGCCGCGCATTCACAGTCGAGATTGTGGTCTGTGACGTTAAAGCAAGTGACTTCTTCTGGAAAACAACGCGCGTTGGACTAAACATATCGTCAATAGCACAGACAAATTGGAGAGCCAACCTAAGGGCAATTTCTTGGCATTAGTTCGTGCAGCTATACTATCGTACTTGTTTTTATTGTGAGCAATGGTATCGGGAGATATGGGCGGGGCAAAAATCACAGATCGGTGCGAATGGCGCTTAGTGATTGGATAAAAAATATATTGGTACCATCCAGTAAAATCATCCGAATAACATGGAATTTAAGGAAAATCACGAGACATAATAAAAAGGCGGGTGGCTTGTGTAGTCGACTGTGATAATCTATACATTCAGCCAGTAGACTGGCCACTCTTTCGTATTTAGCTCTCGTCTCTTGCTTGTCTTCCGGTTGATTAGTCTTAGATTAGTGGATATAGCATCGAGGTCGCAAACATAAGATGATCGGCAGGAACCCAAGGTTGCACATGCCTCAACGGGGCCAGGGAAGTCTTGTCTCGTTCTTGCTCTCGGCTGGTCACCGAGCTCGGCTCAAGCAACTAAAGCGAGTTGGCGAAGGAGTTTTTCAGTCCGAAACGTTCCCTTATGATTGCCGCGCCATGTTACTCGAACACGTACCACATCGGGGAAGGAAAGGGACGATCGCACATAGTGAGCCTAGGTTATCGGTGTACACTCCTGAAGTTGACCTAGGATTCTTATTTCTTCGTCGATGAAAGGTGGGCCTTATACGAATAGCGCCGTCATATATCCGATTATGTCTATTAGCCCTCTAAGCTTCTTCTTCTTCTTCTTCTTCCATACGTAGATAATGCTACATCGGCTGAAGCGGAAGACATTGGTTGATAATAGACGCACACGGCTGGGCTCGGTATTGTCCTTGAACAAAAGGTGGATCGCTCCACACGGGCAGTCCATATTCCTGATCTACCAGGCAGCGTTGTTTCCATAAGGGAGATAGGGCAGGCGCATGAACGTTGCTCTTTGCAATTACGGGTTAAGCGTTGAGTCGCTAGCGGTAGAATAGCCGCGTTCCATGGCGGTCCAAGCGTACCCTACCGTAATTGTGACATGCCATTGGGCAACCTTTCAAGGGAGCATGGGTTTTCGCGCTGAAATCCCTGTGTAGGCGGAAGGAAGATTGTCTCAGATTACAGATTTTTCTTGTTCTTGTATCCTCTGCATTGTGATCGAGGGCCTGCGTAAGCTCAGCTGCGAACGATGATCGAATCTCCTCAAAGCAAACTGCGAATGTTGTATCTTCCTTGCAGGACCAGCGCTGTCAGATCCAATTACCTCCGTCACCCAATCGGAATGGTGGGGACTTAGCCCCACGATCTGACCGAACCCTTTCTGCACGTTGACTGCACTGCCGCGATTACACCGCGAAGGAAAAAAATTGGCTTATTCCGTGTCAGGGGTAGGTAAGTTATTACTTTTTTTTCCTGTTTTTTTGTCATTCTTTAATAGCAATTTGTTTCTTTTTATTTGTTTCTTTTTATTTGTTTCTTTTTTATTTGTTTCTTTTTTATTTGTTTCTTTTTTATTTGTTTCTTTTTTATTTGTTTCTTTTTATTTGTTTCTTTTTTATTTGTTTCTTTTTTATTTGTTTCTTTTTTATTTGTTTCTTTTTTATTTGTTTCTTTTTTATTTGTTTCTTTTTTATTTGTTTCTTTTTTATTTGTTTCTTTTTTATTTGTTTCTTTTTTATTTGTTTCTTTTTTATTTGTTTCTTTTTTTATTTGTTTCTTTTTATTTGTTTCTTTTTTATTGCTTTTTTTATTGCTTTTTTTTCTACCACTCAGCTCTCAGACAACCGAGCACATTCTGTCTGTCTCTCATGCTCTGGATAGTAAAGCAGGCGGAGGAGAGCACCGGTAGACTGTGGGTTATATCAAAAGTGCAACCAAAAGTACATGTCTTAAAATTGCTTGAATTGAGACCCAGTCAGTTCGCCACAATATATAATCGGTTGGAGGTGTTGAGCCAAGGTCGTTGGCCAGGTCTGGGCACGGCTAAGCAGGAGTCTAGAGACAGTTCCAATTTCAGCTCTTTTGCCCGATAGTAGCAGAGTAGCGAATACCTTTCCGAGCCTATCACTGGAGGAGGTGGTCGGTTTTTTTTAGTTTTTGCGTGAATAGAGGACAATGAGAGATGATATGTCTTGATATTGATCAAATTCTACCAAAGCAATGACGTTATCGCAATAGGGTCTTTCAAAAATCGATCCTTGACTTATTATGCCTCTTACGACCATGAGAGAGGCTGCTGGGAAGAGCCTGGATTTCATGTCATTCAGTCCCCGCCTAGCATCCCTGTCATGGAGCTAATGCAGAAAGCGCGCTAAACCACCGTTAGTACGAATGTACGCAGACCCTGGTTTATCCATTCAGAAGACTTCGCTTTTATCGGGGAAGGACGAGAAAGTAAATGTCGTGCTATAAAGTGACGGCACGATCCAATTTTTACTTACCACCTCTTTTTACTACAATATACCGCAATGGCTGGACGACAAACAAGGGCGAGTGCAGATGGTAGCCAACAGCCGCTGTATGACAACACTGACAGGCATACACCAAGGCAAGCCCAACAGCAAGGACTGTCTCCGCCGTACACGACGCGAAACTCCACCCAAGGCCAGACTGCACAACAGGGTAGCCAGGATGAACTTATGCCTGACGGGTTTGGGGGCATGGATAACATGTTCCCGCAGGGTCCTACCTACAGCACCTCTGGATTCTCGGCCAGGCCCATGTTCGATCAGGGCCATTATCCAATCAGCTCCGCGCTCATTGACGAAGTGCTAAGCGAATTTATCATGAACTGTGCCAGAGACTTATACGTATGAAAGCCTCTTTGATCGTACGCTTCTAGACGCTAATATCTTATAAGCCTCGCATGAGGAGTAGTTTGGAGGACCCAAGTGCAAAAGCCACACTGGTCGGCCTCATGTCGACAATGTTTCAAGCTGAGATTAGCAACGGAGAGAGAGGTGGAACCAGTGAAAGCAACAACAGCGTCGGCAACGAGAACAGTACTTTCTGCACGTGAAGAAAGAGGGAGGACAGAAGACTTGGCAGGGCAGGGGAAAGAAATGACGGCGGATGTGCTGAGAGATAGGGCGGAGGGGGGCATTGCATACGTTTGTTTATCAGCTTAAAAAAAGTGTGTAACTTATAGGATCAATTGTTTCCATGATAAGTGATGTACTCGGCATCTTTCACATTTTGACGAAATCTCGCTTATATTGGCCTGGGATCGCCTAAATACTACTAGCCTTTTGGAATTTTTGACAGTAAACGGAATAAGAAATCAGGAGCTTCCTTAAATTGCTCGCTTGGTAATAAGCTGGCGCGTAGAAACTGAGGACACAAGAAGGGGGTTAATGCATGTGAAAATCTCTAGATATTACGTTAGACAACGTTTCCAAGATACGTTGCCGACATGGTTCATCCGTCATATGCATCCGGCGGTGTCCCATCCCATGCCATTTCTCGTCCTGGTACCCACGTCTGCAAAGCACTACATGAGGCTCATTATATTCCGATGTGCTTTTAGGGTCACTAAAATGAAATACTGTGAAGCCGTCTGAGCATAAGACCATGGCATTCCCAAGGCCGATTGCGCCAGCCGTAAAAGCCTAGATGCTCGGGATGTGAGCCACCCATAATTCAAAGGAAAGTGATATCGATCCATAAGCAGAGACTGTTCAAAGAAAGGGCTATATTGCAGCGGCTCGTCCATTCCTCGTTCCGTACCTGGTAGGCGCACGATAAAGCGGGGTTGACGTGGTGCATAGCGAAATCCTTGCGCCGAACTATGGGAGCAACGTCATCATAACTCAGTTCCCTAAAGCCTGGTATGTGGTCAAAACACCCCGTCTGAGTGATTCTCGCCAAATATCCCGAGTCTTCAGATTCCCCTTCTCCACTGGTGCGCAATCCCCCGCTGGCTACTCGCCCGGCGTGACCCAAGGCCTAGTTATCGTGGCTGAATACCCTTCACAATCAACTCTACCTGCACATTAAGGGATGTCTCTGTCAACAAAGGTCGGTCCAATCTTGGTAAAAGCAAGAAGCATCATACCAAGAAGGCATTGATCTCACGAATTTGCAGATCAAAAGACTGAACGCCCAGTGGTCGTTCGACTGCTTACCTGGACGGGAACTAGGCAAAGGAAGCGTTGCCGATGTCTATCTAGGTGGGTAGAAACATCGGCCCCTCGTCCCGCACTTTCACCCATGTTGATTATCACTAGGGACCAACCACTGCACCCAGGAGAAAGTCGCCATCAAAAAGCAACGGATCCCCTGGTCATCTAGTGCTAAAGGCAACACACTGAACCACGAATACAGTGTTTTCCAAGAGCTGGGCCGCGGTGAAGGTATCCCGATTGTCCATGACTACTGCCGTGAAAGATACAGATACAGAGGTGAGAATAGATATCGATGCTATTTGATTATGGAGCAGCTGGGCCCAAGTCTCTACAAGACCATGCACCATAGATTGGGAAGACCTCGACTGGCGAGCAGCGGACTTTTCTTCTCCCTGGAGGAGGTTGTGAGCATTGGAGATCAGATGATCTGTGCGCTGCAACTTATACACAACAGGAACTTTATACATCGGGATGTTCAACCTGGAAATATTGTGTATGATCGGTTTCGAGAGCGAGTGCTGCTGATCGATTTTTCCGTTGCTGAAAGGTATCGGGGCACCACGGCCCACAGGCATGCGCCCTGGCAAGCCACTCAAATGGTAGGATCGCCTGTTTTCGCCAGTCTGAACAGTCATCGTGGTCATTCAGTGTCGCGGCGCGACGATATGGAGTCTCTTGGTTATGTCCTGGTGTATCTTGTTCGTGGACAACTCCCCTGGCAACACCTCCCTGCCGAGACCAAAGATCTGATGTTTGCGAAGAAATCCGCTATCACGACCAAGGAGCTTTGCGGTGGATTGGAACCTCTGTGCAAATTCCTTCGCTCGGTGAAACGGCTTGGGTTCGGCCAAGAGCCCGATTACGACGGCTTGCGCCGGGTGTTACGTGCTCTTGTCGTGTGAAATTCTCCGAGTCTATACACACGTATCCAACAACCCAACTATCTTGTCATGAGGATCGGAAGAGTTTGAATTAGGAGCCTTGGACTTCGGCACCATATATATAATCAAATCTGTCTCGCCACCGAAATTAAACAGTCTGTTGCACAGGACTCGAGCTATATGGCTCTCCTGGTTGATGAGACTGATCAGATGTCCTCTTAGCTGAGCACTGAGTAACTATCTGTCTCCTATTTGATCTGATCCTTTTGGAACTCCAATTCTTCAGGCCCATTTACGGAAGAATCTGGCTTGCTCTGCCAAAGCCTAATGGCCTGGAGGTAGTGTAAGCCTACCTCTGTAGATTAACCCCGCATAGTCGCGCCTGCCATTTGAGGCCTCCCGAATAATTATCTCCCTAGGAATATACTCGGCCGCTAGTGTGATCCAAAGTGCTATAGCTTGACTCGCTGGTCCCACGTTCTTCATTGAAAACGTTGTGGTTCACCATCCCTGTGGAACTTGCTGGTCCCAATCTACAAGATGAGCTTGGTCGATGTGCTTTTGTACATGCTGCTTTATATGGCTGTGTGCAGACTCTGCAACCCTTCATTGATTCGCAAGTTGATATCTGAGAGATAGAAGGTATTGAACAAGAGACGAATGGCAACTGAGAGAAGTAAGAAAAGAATCAGCACCAACAAAGAGCGGGTCCTGGAAAATAAAGCAGTGAGCACCTTAAACGAGGATGGACCATTTCCAGTACGTAGAATAGTTTCAACACAGTATTGATGTTCACTAATTACACCTCTGCTTATTTCCAAATTCAAATACTTTCATAGAAAGACACTAAGCATTGAGATCGGCGGAAAGCTGAAGGGCGCCTGGGTTCTCTGGGATACCTAGGACCGCCGCTTCCATAGGTACGATAGGCAACGGGCGATTTGAAACTGTCTAAAACAAGAACCACGCTACGGGCGAAATCACCTTGACAGATACTGAGCCGGTCAATCAAGCCAGAGCTCAGGGCAAAATGTCACAAGCATTGTTGCCTGGATCGGAATTGGGTAGCCCGCTAGATCTACAGAATAATACAGGATCAAGAAAACACTAGCGTGATCAACGTCGTTCGACCTACTAAATGTCACCGCAGACATTCTGAATCGGTCAGCTGATGCTTCAAACAGCGCCGCAGCAAAGCCACATACCTTTCTTCTGTTGTTGAAATCAAAGTAGATTCCAAGCCAATAATCGCGGTCGCGACAGTCATCATCTCCACCGCTTGTTACGTTCCAATGGCAAGAAGGCTTGTGCTCATTCATAGCGTTGGAAGGGAAATCAACCCAAGGCTATACAGGGTCTATCAGCAGGATGAACTCGAATAATCTCTTGGGCACAGCAAAAGGCCCAAAGGGATACGGACCTTTGGAACCGGCCAGTCGGAGAAATGGACGGTCTTTGCTTCCATAAGAGCCTTTTGAGGATTCCAAACTTCGCGTGAACTCCCAAGATACTTGGCGTGGACAACCTCACGGAACTCTCCTGTCAAGAGGGTATAGGGTCGGTGGGGAATGATGAGCGCATGGTCTCTGTAGATGGCATTCACGATCTCCATGTCATAGTCTGATGTTTGTGATGTTGCAGTAGCAGTTACGATGCGGTCAAACTCGAGCTCAGAAGGCTCAATTATCATAAGATAGCTGGTCATAACGCGATGATCAGGATCCAGCCAGTAAGCTCGAGGGAAGGCCAAAGGACATGGAGGCAAAAAGAACAATTCGTCCATATGCTAGATTGCCGAACGTCAGTGATACAATCTTGGAAAGCTACGATCCATGCTTCATCGTATACATACTTGTAACATGGTAACATCCGAGTCTAAGCTAAGAACGCGACTATATTGCGTCTGATTAAAAGCGAGGAGTTTTGTAAAGCTTTTCGACCACGTAGCTTAGATTGTGTTAGTTCATTTGGTCTCTCAAGTTCAAACAAGACATCACGTACGGTCTTCTCTGTTTCCCGTTTGGACGCGTACAGGCACTAGCTTCACATTATATTCATCCCGGGCTTTGCGAAGTAATCGGCTCTCCGTCCCGTTTTCATTCTCATCAGCCGAAAAACTCAACGGGTACATTAAGAGCCGATCAGCTTTACTGTGCAAGCGATGTAAAGTCTCAAAAATCATGACTGAGTTGCACAAGTAAGCAGTGTTGGTGGCATATTGCGAGTACGCAAATCGCGACCAATCCACGGCATCTTGGCCTTTCCCGTGATGGGAATTCCCGAGATCAAGCCTTGTTGCTGAAGATCGATCACATAGAATAATTTTTGTCTGAAAGAAGAGAAGTGCAAGTACTATGGTGAAGCCTATTGTTCGTGAGGCGCCCCGCAATGTGCGTAGCATCATGAAAACCCAGACATGTAATGCAAACTAAATGAATCGAAGGTTGAGATATGTCAGAGCAGCGCTGACCGAGTGTCGTTATAAGAGGAGCTGTATGTCAGGCATTAAACATGACCACGGGGGTGAGGAAAGGAGATGAACCAAACAACGGTTGCACCGTCACTTTTCTCCCTGAAGTCTTAGTATTTTAGGAGACGTTTTCTTTATTCAAAATTCCAACGAAAAAAGATATACCATCCAAGCGGAGGGCAGAAGCTGACAGGGCAATACAATCGATTCAGTTACGGAAAAACACGCAAAGAGAGATGAAATAAAACACAAACGCAGATGTAGCTAATGCTTTCGTCAAAAAGATGGCTGGTTATGTCAATGAAGAAGTTTATTGAATAGAGGGAATTTGACAGAAATGTTGAAATAAACCGGCAAGTGAGTAGGTGGCGGCAGGTGAAGTGTAGTGTCTCAGCTTGGGTTTGAGTAAATAACCTAGACTCAGGGCTCACATGGCAAAGGGTAGGCTGCTATCAACCGAATTAGGCAACGAAGATCGGTCCAGTTCTAATGATGAAAAGCTAAACTTGTCACCTACAAGCACAAGCGCGACTTGGCAGTCCTACTCATCCCTTGCTGTTTCAAACTTAAAAAATAGTTGGTTTCTTCTCTTCCTCTATAGTTTTACAGGTTGTGACTCTACCAAGTAAACGATATTGCCGACGATGAACACCTGGTACGGAGGTTCAGACGGCGACAAAATGGTTAAAAGTATAGAGCAAGGAGACAGATTGCGTGTAGTTTGTGGCCAGTGGTTCTGGAAAACGGCCAATTTCTTACCACCAGGGCTCTTCCTCACAAGGTAGGCGGAGCGCGACCTCCCCGATCTCTCTTCACTACTGACTATGATGCAGCTTCCTCCTCTTCCCGCCGGTGTTGCAAGGCTCTTTGGCCAACAATCTGAGCAAGGAGAATGCCAGCATTGGTGCTGCTTTTGCATGTGCCGCATGTGGCTTTCTGCCTTTGTTCATGCTTCCGTTCACGGGGCTCAGGTCACGAATATTACTTCTAGGGAACAGGTACGGTCGGCTATCCTAGAAAAGTATCATTCTGGGTTGCTGACTCCGGATATTAGACTATGTCTCACGGCGGGCCTCTTCGGAGTATTGAACCTTGCAATACATCTCGCCTACGACCTGACGATCAGCAACATGGTGATAGCTGCGCTAGCTTTGGCTGTGTCACAGATTGTCTGCTATGCTGCCGTCATCTGGCTACGCTCTCGCGGCACTGCTAGACAATATACCCGCCAAGATTGCCCTTGCGAGCAGCTCCACAATTTACAAATGGAAGATAAGCCACCAAAGACCAAATCACCCAGTAATCTAGAGCATCCGATTTGGGTGTGAGGGCTGAGCATGTGAGGGCTGAGCATGTGAGGGCTGAGCATGTGAGGGCTGAGCATGTGAGGGCTGAGCCTTTGTCGAGGCTCACCGCTGGTGAGCCACTATGTTCCGGAACATTGAACGAGTAACAGTGCCAGCACCTCATAATGAGAAATGAGAAATGAGAAACGGAATGATAACTCCTGAAGGAGCAAATTGTACTCACACTGGCCTCCCTGACTGGTGCAATCTCGGAGATGTTAGCCCAGCAGTTGTGTTAGAGTTTTGTTGGGTACTATTGTCTATTCCCAGAGCTTGATAAGTGTGTCATGGAAATTCTATTAGATCTCTCCTTTACTCCAAATGAAATGTCGGGATATAGTTAGATACGGCGAAATTTCCCCGGAGACCACTATCCCTCACATTATTTACTTGAAGAATACGCGCGGACGCAACTGGATTCATTAGATGAGCAGTCATCATTAGATTCGCAGTCAGGTACTTGGTTTCTTACTGTTAAACAAGATCATCATGATAAGTTCTCCGCGTTCTACATTTAAACTATGACTTTGGCTATCAGGCATCTGCTTGTCACTGAGAACAAAGAGAATATATCGTGTCTGGGGTACGTTTCCTAGTATTATCTCTGTTAGTGTAATCGCGCACAGCCTGATAAAATTCATTGGCTGTTTTCACTTAATTGGGCGAGGGCTAGCATCCAACGGCATTGTTTGATGACTTTCGCGTAAGCTCTGCTGCATAAACTGGCTGCTAGTGATAAATACACCTATCAAACTGAATAGAGTCGCAGCTATTGATCAAAACCACCGCGGCAGGTCACGTCCCCATTCAAACTGACTGTCACTTGCTGCTGCTGCCCTATCAGCACCAGTGAAATGAGATACTACTGCCATTCTGGAACAGGAAAACTTGCGACCTGCATTTTCTTTGTATTTTATACAGTAAGATACGTCGCATAGGTCTGTTAATAGCTCAATAAGTCTGACCGAAAAGCTCAACCCCTAGTTCATATGCACAGCTGCAATCATCATGACGGACAGCAAAAGGATTTGCCACAATCGCTCTTTGTTGGAGGCATTCTGTTGCAGATATGAGAAATGAACTGTTTACCTGCAAATAAGTATCCCAAGGGCTGCGAAACAGCTATCGTCCTCAAATTAGCATAGAACTTTCCCGGACTTGCGGTACAGAGAAATGCGAGAGAAAACAAGACGCTGGTAATCTTCTCTGATGATTAATTAGCTACATTGCATCCAAGAGGTCTTGTTACTGCTGTGATGTCTATTTCTCTGAGTCGGGTTCATCAAGCAACTGCCGGTTAGGGCTGGTAATATCACGTGTGTCGACTGGATTAACTGAGGATCATCTCTCCCGGGACCGCCTAACCCTGCTTCACACTTTGTACAAGCTTGACTTTTTTCGTAGCATCATTGTGAAAGAGAACAAAACAAGCTCACTGCGGGCGAAGGCTTCAGCGGGTCTCATCTCAGCATCTGACGTAGGCTCAGATACACCTGGCTTGCTGGCAATCTTTGGAGCCTCGGTCTGTGGTACTCATCCCTGATATCAAAGGTGAACAAGCTTATACCTACAAGTCTAAAGACCAGTTTCAAGGGGTAAGCTCGTGCCAGACGTACTTTGTTCCTAGTATCGAGTCCGCTGTATAGTTTCGCCTGCGTAGCGCTACCCACGGGCCAAGACGGCGTGTATCTCCCGAATCAATTATTTGTACCATGGCCAAGTGCAAACCCAATGATAAGTCATACGGGTTGGCTGTTTATCGCATTCTTGTAACGACGAGGGACTTTGGTTAAGTGTCCTCGGAAAGGAATGTGGTGGACTGCGTTTGGCTTTGCTTAACTTGCCTCGTGGTGAGTATAGCTTCACATTCAGAAATCGTTGCAAATACAGACAAAAGCCCTCCCTCCCTTCCATTTTTCTCATATAGAAGAATTTGAAGCGTTGAGTGTGATTCTATGGTTGATGTTCCTAATACTTTACTGCTAAACAACATTGCACTATCCGTCTAATACAGCACCATAAACTTTCCTAATGTGCTTTCCCATCATTCCAATGATATCGGCACACCCCAGACTGACTGTCCAGTAAGAGCAGTTCAAAGCAGCTGGTGCAGTCGTATGCCTGAAGTGTCAGATATGTCCGACTTGCTAACTATTGCTTGCGCTCTGCTCGGACTTCGCTCCAATGGCTGCCTTACTTTAGCTGAGTGACCCAGATATTCATTCCAATTGATACAAGAGAAAAGGCAACTGCCATACATGTGGAAATTATAGTGTGAGTTCCGAGACTGGCCTGCGCACCATATTTCCCCAAAACGTCCTGAATGTGCTGCGTGTAGACATAGTATAGACTGATTGACCATGAAGTTGCAACGGTGAGTAGAATCGTCGTAATCTACGCCAATTAGTAGAGCCGGTGTCTCGCTGACTGGTGCGAACTTACAAGGGATGAGATCACCAGCAATGCACTTCCACGAGAAATAAATATTCTTTTGATGCCAAAGACCAATGTCAAGAATGCTGCCACATAGGCTGATATATATATGCAGATGATGGCTCGTGAGCTGCGTAGATTTCCTGAGAGATAGACCTCTCCGCCACTCGCTGACAGCCCGTTAATCTCTCCGGTGAGAGACCTAACTATATCTCGCAGGTTGAATACGAACGAAGTGCTTGGATCGGAACATCGATTGATGATATTGTCTCGGCCTTCGCAGTAACTTAGGAGGCCAACGTGATAGTACCTGGGCAGATCTGCTTTGATGTCGTTGAGCAATGTGTCGAGAGTATCACTTACTTGACTAACGATGGTCGCTGCGCCCCTTGCTAGATGCAGATGCTTTCGTGCCTCTTCTCTTGCATTTCTAGAAAACTGTTGCATTGCATACGTGACATTCACAGAGCCCATACCGACAGTATCCGGTGAACGTCGAGCCGCGGCATTAGCGATCTGTGGGAAGTTGTTCAGATCTACCTGATTATTGAAGTCAATATTTCACCGCAGCCTGTAGAGTGGTAGTGTGTACCTTCATAAAGTACAAGTTGAATGGCGTAAATGGCGACGTGCAGCCGACAAATACAATTGCCAGGCAAATCAACACGGCGACGGGAAAGGACAATGCTGCGATGGGAATAACTCGGTTTAGTCTAGCTCGGGAACTGGGTCTCATGATGGCCATCCTGCACCTAGAACAATCTGGACGCGCGGAGTGCCTTTCAAATAGAAAAAGCAGCGGTCGCTAAGCCATTGGCTTTGCAACTGGGTGGCCACATATGAAACATCAGCTGGAAGACATATCCCAACTTTGCTCATATCCTAGTAAGAACAGCTCAAGATTGCTGCAGATTTGCCATTAATGCACACCAGCTGATTTGGTACTCTCCAAAACCGAAAGTTCAAAATTATCATGATTGCTAAGCTATCAGTATATCTACAAAGACTCAGCTGGCCTCACGGGCTTCTAGACCGATGTTGACTGTCTGATTCAAACTGGGTGGTAAATGTTAGACAAAGTTTTGTATGAGACGATGGTTAGGAAGTACTCGCGTATCAAAGTAGGGATCTAACTGCCCCATTGATTACACGACACCAGCTCCAGTGCTATGTCAACATGCCAGAAACCGAAGCATAAAGTCGGCTTGTCGGCCAATCTAGGTTGAAATTGAAAATGATCCAGGAAAGAGTAAAAGCAAAAGATATAAAAGAGACATGTATCTTAGTAGCGCGTGGATGGCTTCAATCCACTGCTCCTTGCTCAGCTTGGTGCTACTCAGATCACAAGCTCAGTCAGCGTTTTTCAAATAATTGAGTCTACATTTCCATTAGTTTTGGATAATTATATTTCCAATAGATGCCACCATGTTCAAGCCATTCATTTGTTTATATCAATAAGCGAAGAGTCCACACTTGGCCAGATGCGCTCAGTCAAGTAGAGCAACTGACTCCAAGATAAACCACACCTGTTTACTCAATCATACTTCGAAAACTAATGCTCTCCAAGGCCCTAGACCTCAATGTCTGAATGACTGCCCCCATTTATATGATAAGTGGTATATGCATATAGATAATGAGGACGACCGAGTAGTGGGCCGTAGCGGCAAGGACAGGCAGCGACATATTGCCGCGTAGGGCTTATGCCTCATACTTCAATGCCTTGTGCTGTCATTTATATCTCATCGAGGGCATGTTACTGCCTACGGAAAGATGTCACGCTGTCTTACAGTGCCCAATACAATTGTGACTGCTGTCTATTGTGGGCTATTGGATATTTGGTCAACATAATTGCTTGGAACCATTCCCAATCCCACCACCAGAGCCCCGAGAATCTGCAAAAGGTGCAGCAGCCATTTGGACCAGCTCATCGACCAGAATCAGGCATGTAGAACACGTGTCCCTTGCTTAGCTTGATCCCGAATGCTGACTATGTCGATCCGCAAATTTCCAAGAACCAAGAGGCTGCATTCAACCCAAGGATGGTCCGAATACAGACGAGATACACATGATCCAAAGAGCCGTCATCTCTTTGATGGCTCGATAAGAGGGGTTCCATGGCGCGACCCTCCCTTCGAGTTCTACAAAATTTCTTTTACAGACGCATGGGAAAAAGTGCCGCATGAATTCCGAACGCGCCCAAATTTCGAGACTGCATTTTTTATGCATAAGGAAAATAAACCTTGAATAGCTCCTATCCCTCATAGAACAGCCTTCCTGTGACGACTCTCATAATGGTGCGGTATTATGCTGCGCATTGTACGAAGGATTTCGCACAGAGAGAAAAAAGAATTGCCCCAAGGAATCCTGTCCACTAGCTGGTGAACCTGCAAGTTTATGCCGCGGCGGATTGCGACGGATACCTTAAGCCCAACCCGCGCTAGTTCAAATTCCGGTCGCGCTTGCCTACCCCATTTAGTGCTTCTTTACATTTAGACTAAAACCGTAGCGCAGTACAGAATTAGTCATGGATCATGAAAGAATACGCAGATGTACCTTATGAAAGAGGCATTTTGACAGAGCCGACTTTCATTCCTTCCTTGTCTTGCTTACAGCTATAAATAAATTCAATCCGCATATCCAGTCAACATTGCTGGTACGAGATCAAAACATTGGCTACCATTTTGAAGCTGTGCAGACTGCTGCCTTTTTCATGATTCAATCCACGGTCGTCTTGGTAGGATTCCTCGGGGAGGGCAATGAGCGAGACAGCGTCCCGCTACTGGTGGAACAATCAGCAGCATTCGACGGGTTGAAAGGAAAAAGCTCTTTTCGTGTCGTTGGGGGCTTCTTCAGGCCGATGAACCACTGGTGCATCATGGTGTTCTACGAAGGATCCCTGATAGGAGACCCTGCTGTGGAGGGATTGCGCCGACATCTGGCCACATTTTGCTTAGACAGGAGAACTTACGAGCATGTTGAGCCGATTGCGGAGCCGCTTTTTTCGGAGACAGGAGGACACAATCCATTTGGAGCCTGGAAACAGGAGACATTGATTTGCTATGTCAGAGGCTCCACCTATCGCCTGATGTGGGATGGCGTTGTGCACTTCGAAAATGCCAAACTATACACGTCCGCCGTGGACGATGCGTTAGAGGCAGCCGGGGTAATGAGTGTGGATTATGATATATAGAGAGTCATTGTGCAAACACGTCTGGGCGAGGTCAACGCAGTGTGGTGACCTGAAGCCTCGAGGTAGCTGCTGAGATCCATGCTCAAATTTGGCTTTTTCGTGTTTTGTGCCCTCGTTCTCTTCTGTCTCTTTTCTTTTCTTACTTCTGAATCTTTTCCTTTACTTGAGGAGTTGGACATGTTGACTGGATGTTGCTAGTGTACCTATATTGTGAGCGATCATAGAAGGACGGACATATCATCTACTAGCCGTATTGCAGTAGCATGACTACTACAGCCAATGGTTTCTTTCTGCGGTATAGCCTGTCCTACATCTTCCACAGGTTCTTGCCCCAAATCTGGAATGTGCCAAAGATCGGTGCACGGCCATTCTACTTTGTAGACCTGACCCATTACTGAAGCCCACAATTTACCGACTTGCCGTAATTGAGAGCCCGGCTGCAGACCAGCAGGGAACCTCTCAGGGAAGCCGCGCATTAGATTTGCAAAGTCAACACGCTTGTATAGGACATGATGCGGTGCTTCTCTATGAAGGGACAGCCGATTACTGCAAAAGCCACCAGGTTCATTGGCCCAAGTGTCGCAAACTTAGCGCTGGGAATAGACAGTATGAAGCACTGGAAAAAAGAGATGACAAGAGAAATTACTCTACCTCGGGCTTTCAAATTTGGCAAGTTTACTTTGAATGATGTTTCTAGCCCATTATAAAGTCTCAAAGCCACGCAGGTCACTATGAATGCTCGAATTATGGTGGCTCGCGTGAAGAAACGGAACCGGAGGGGAAAAAAAGGTCAGAGACGCAAGGAAACGTTTCGCGACAACGCCATTTACTCCAAATTGTATCAGACTTCCCAGTGTTACTTTCCTGATGCATTTACAGGCTACGTGCATCGACGGGTCAAGTTGGATATTGAGATGTATTGGTATGGAATGAGGCGCAGAGATCTTGCAATATTGACCCACGCACGACGCCACTTCGTTAAAAGAGCATACAAGAACTGGGGAAGCGTTTCTTTGCGAGTCATTCGCATGCTATTTCAAGATCCAAGATTCGCCTTGATGGGTGAGTTGAAGGAGTTGGCTGTCAGAGTGGCGCGGGACCATTTTTGTCTAGAAATGTCGCACTTCACACGCTGGATGGCGAGGCTAAGGTCAATACCGCTATGGGAAGCGCGCGGGTTTCGATCAATGCTTCAGGAAGAGCTTCATTACAGTTGGGTGGTGGGGAAGGTGTGGGCTCATCCGCCGCCCAACACATGGTATCATTACGAACAAAGATACCGTACTGACCTAGCTAGTATAACATATTGCAACTGCAGATTTTGAATTTCTCTGCGGTATTGTGATTGCGATTTTTGCTGTCGCACGGGACCTATGTATCGCCGGATGACGGATTATTGCGATGCTGTTCCTCGTTGTCCATGCAGGCAGCCCATGGTGGCGATTGGCCGTGCTTTGGACTCGGACCTGAATTGACAGACTAGACGTAGAAAATCAGGTGCAAGCGCCTCGTGTGTCGCATCGGAGTACTTCAAGTGTAATTTTCTCCGCAACAGACACCACACCAATACCACATGCTTTTGCAAAGATCCCGGTTAGTGAACAACAGCATTGCCCATAATTGGCGAGCCAGGCGGCCACTTCCTATTGCAGGACGAGACTTGGAGCTATGTCCTCACAGAACCCATACATCATGATCAGGGAAGTTTCACGTTTGTTCTTATGCATTTGGAGCAAGTTATTAAAGAGTTTGCAAGACAATCGTTAAATGGATCTTGTAAAGCTTGAGTCACTCGGTATTTCGTAATAGTGTGGAGGTTCTGCGCTAACCGACAGCGGGCCTGGTTTGTAGAACGTGACAACGTGCCAGGGTTGCCAATTGATAGGTACATGCTTGATCCCAGCCGGAACGAGATGCAGTCTTGTGATATAGATTGAAGTAGGCATTGCGCTCGTGCATTACGAGGGAGCGGTATGGATTTGGAAAGTGTCAGGCAGAATGGCAGCAGGAAAGTTCAAACTGCCAGTAGAAACACGCAATGGTGCTCAACAACGCCGCGCCCTTCTAGCCGACGCCCCATTCACGAGCACCTTATGCTTGATCAGTGCGCGGCACAGTCTAAGGGCCTAACATCGTGGCCAGGACAGTGTGGCTTCACTTGATGCGCTGGTGGTGTCGTGACCTATGGCCTTGCTGGGCAATCCTGGGGCTGTTCATGTGCTTTTTGTATGTGATAACAAAGAACCTGCTCGGATCTAGACAGCAACGTGTGGCAGAACCAAACTGAGTCCCGGTCGCTGGGACAAACACGATTCAGACACCCATCTCAATGCGGCCCCCTTCCCAGTTGATATGGTATAATCCCCGCATAAATTTTAGACAATAGCTTCTCATCGCCATACTGCTTTCTGGACAGTGAAAGAGCTCAGGTGACTAGTTGGCCTGGATTACATTTAGGGCTTAGGGTTGGGGTTGGGCTTGTCTCGGAAACCCGAAACCCGATACCCGAAACCCGAAACCCGAAACCCTGACACCCTAACACCCTAACACAGAATGGAACGCAGCCTGCCTGGCATATCTTTGCTAATTCTTGCGGATACTTCCAGGAAGGCGAACATCGCTAGTGACCCGAGCTGTCACAAAGAATAGTTCAATCTGTGATAGGCGACCTTTGCCACTTCTTTGCAGAAAGCTGGACAGACTAAGAAATGGTGAAAATTGCACAAGCAGCAATTGCACTCTCATTGATATCGATTTATGTACCGGATGATCATGCTTGACTTGGTCTTTACGAAAGAAAAAGGGCATGGGGCTTGAAGACGGAAAGGACGGCCACCGTGGTACCTTTTGGAAGTACAAAGAATGAGATTGTCCGGTGGGGCTAGATATCAATCATGTGTCTCGATCTTAATAACAATGGACAATATCTAGACTAGGAGAACGGACCATGCTGAGGACAGTCTTCGCGAATATAAAAGAGGCCATCCAAATCGATTGTGATCACACCATATACTTTCCCAGATCATTGCCTCTTCTCAATCCCTCTCCGTCTTTGACGCTCCTCCGTCCCTGTTCTCGCTACCATGGTCAAAGGAGACCCGCCCACCAAGGCTGCAATTCGGGACGAGAGGACCTTTTCCGAGCTAGAGACTCGGCCGACCTGGCCCTCTCTCAAGCACAGTCTTGATCTGAGAACGCCAAATTCGCCTGGAAAGATTGCGTCCACATCGAAGAAAGCTGCGAGGCCAAACGGCAAGCATGTCCGTATGGCCTTCAAGCGGAGCGCCGGCCTCGATGTGGCTGGTAAATCGGCAGACAGCAGGTCATGCTGCTGTCCAACACCGATCTCAAGAACCACCCGCGGCTCTTTCTCAGAAAGCAGTTTTCACACTGTCCAAGAGTACCCGGGTAAGCATCGACTCTCGGGTCTTTTTTCAATGGATGATTTCGACAAACCAAAGTGCCGCGACTCGCCGTTTCGCTCACTTGTGGTATTTGACGCTGGCGGTTGAGGCTTGGAACCCAGTACGTGGACTTCTGCCACACGTCCAGATGCTGGGGCACTTTGCGGTAACGACCGAAAAAAATGCTCTAGTCAGGCTTTTGGAGACCTAGTGTGACCGGGCTACTCGACCTGTGTAGTCACATACATGATTGGTTGAAGGTCACAAAGGGCTCAAGGTGGGATCAGATTGGGGTTCTCATGAGAGTCAGCTATTACAGAAATCCCACGGCTAGAGAAGCCGGACATCATAAATATAGACGATTGTTATATGAACATCGCGTAGAGTCCTGGTGCTTGACTGTCCCTCTGGCGTGCCCAGTATGATTCATGAGCAACGGGAGTTTTATCTGGCGTGCGCTTCAGATCCCTGACTGGCTACAAGACCAGAAAATAAGCCATCAAAAGTGTGACATAGGCTACTTTGAATGGAAGCATTTCTTTTGCTGGGCTATGAATCCACAGAATCACAGCGCATGTGTGAAGACCGTTCAGATAGAAAGAGCTGTCTGACATTGAGTAGGCAACCTGATTGTCTCCACTAGGCTCATGATGAGTATTATTTGAAAAGGTATTTTGTAGTTCTTTTGTATCTGCCATCTGCCGTGAAAGTGCAGCAAAAATAGATCTCGGGGGGCGTAGTGCTGCCTCACTGGAGCTGCTACAGTGATAGTCAAAGCCCTCGCCTGGTTTCCCAGAGCATAATATGATACTGTCCTGTCCTCTCAGCTGCTTGTGGGCGTGGAGCAATTAAACCAGGAAATAAACCGCAGAGGAGCAGCGCGGTCACAAAAAGCATGCCAAAAGAAGCATATCGAATCTTTCAAGAACTAAATAAAACGCCATCTGCAATAATCCGTCTCTGCATATTTGGTTTCACCAGCCTAGTCTTTTGCTACACTGCACTGTATTTTCAAGACTCAATAGGTATGCTGCTAGTGTAATTCCCACCATACGTTTTGAGGGCACTATCAAGCACTGTGGTTGGCAGTTAATCCGGAATATGCGCAGGCTGGACGAGCCCGTTCAGCCTATCCTGGTGATCAATTTGGCTTGCTACTCCCACGCAACTCTTTCGTTCTCCTAACGATTTATTGACGGATATTGGCAAGGGTGAAAGAGTTTCCTGATGGTGAGCTAATCATAGAGCTTCTCCGATTTGTTAGATTTGGTAGCTACCATAGCCTTGAGGAGCGGGTAAAACGAATGAATTCTGGTCGGAAATTTGTTAGCTAAGTATTATGTGGCTACTGTGATCTTCGGTTACGCGAATATATCGAGACAGGTCATTGCCACGTTAACAATAGCAGCTATTTTCTGACACTTTCCTAATTAAGCTTAAAAGAAGAACGGCATGGAGCAGAAAATGATAGTACATTATCGTGAGGTTTGGCCCATACAACTACTTACTACAATAACTCTCTCACAAGGTAATAATAGCTCGTGTAGAAGCAACACACATAGCCCACAAACGTCTCGTCACTGGACTACGTGAGAGCCTTGAAGTCCACATGTTCAGTGAGTCAAATGCTCTCGTGAAATCTGCTTATGGACAGTAACTTACTTGTGGGCTTTCTTCAGTACTTGTAGTCTTTTGGTTGACCAGTGCGCCTATCGCATGGCCATATATTGGGCGGAGACTGGTTTGGATCGAAGCCTGCATGAGGAAAAAGGAATGGGGCGTCAATGTTACCAAATACTTATCCATATGCGCGTAGTGCTTTTGTCAGTCTTTTGTCAGTCTTTTGTCAGTCTTTTGTCAGTCTTTTGTCAGTCTTTTGTCTGTCTTTTGTCTGTCTTTTGTCTGTCTTTTGTCTGTCTTTTGTCTGGCTGCGCGGATTCAGGACTGGTGAAGCGGAGGTGGCGGTTCTGTCACCAGACAAACCACGCTCGGTCGAGACATGCAAGCGATATTCAGAGATATTGTCCAGGGGGCTTGACCGGCACCTTACAATTACAATCACCTCCGTAACCATTCCTTACCGAAGAGAGCATGCTCTACTGTAGGCTAAACTGGACGTGTCATTTCCAATTCTGGTGGTTCACATTCCACATTTAGATTCGTTTAGGCAGTTCTGCAACAAATGCGATCCTTAACTTCGTAACTTTGTCAGACATGGCTCTCAAAGAAAAGTAGCAATACTCTAACATGCAACAGGATTATCTTCTCGAGCTAGAGCAGCTAAGCTCACCGCTAGCTTGGAATAGTCAAGGGATTCACAGCATCCATCCGAGCGTGTCAATCACCACAAGCCTAATGTAGTTTTTTCTTTGAAGTCCCAGCCCAATCTCCAAATTCATTCATGTTTCGGACGCTTGGCAGAGTCCAGTGTCAGCGAAGACCACGATCAGAAAAACAAGCCTCTTCCTCTGGAGCCATTCTACCCTCCTGCTGATGACCGTCAAGCACCACTCGGGCCAGCGAATGCCGACCGTTACCATCGGCCCCGGCTATCCTCAGCACAGCCTCAAATCGCCGCTCAGAGCTTCCCTCGTCCATCTCCCAAGCCCTTTCGCCAGCCAAGTTTGCCAAGCCCGGAGCAGCTGTCTGAGCAGAGACTGTTGTGCATGTTCTTCGGATTTGATTTGATGGGTCTGTCCCATCTTCTCAACAATGACAGGCTGCGTCGGGTTCGACATTACTTGGCTTCACAGCCGCTCCCGGATATGATGGTCGATGGCGAGAGATATCCAACTGCCACATGTGCTTGGTTAAGGAATTTCATTGTTGATTCTCCGTATCGGCTGAACCTTGATCGAGGGCGACTGCGTGGCCTGAGGCTGGATGACAATGCCAGTCACAATATAAACCGGGGATTCGGGCTTTTGTGGGACTTTGTGGAAGCATGCGGTTCAAAAGCCAGATGTGCAATAAATGAGAGGAGCAATCTCGATGCAGCAAACAAGGAGGACCAGCTCCGATGGTTTCAGGTAAATATTCCCTAGTCATTGTCTGTTCGGCGTCTCCAATTCCTTCTCTTCGTTTCTCTTATTGCTCTGAAATTCTTAACTAACACGCCTGGCGCCCTCCTTTCTCAGTACCGTGACATTCAGCCGGCGGAAACAGAGCACATGCTTCAGATCTGGCATGTCCTGAAATCTTTACTGTTACAGCATTCTGCCCTAAAACAGACACGGAGGCCAGGACCGGACAGGCATGCTCGTGTGGAGTTCATCTCGTATACTCATCGCGGCCGCATGCTAAAGCTTCACGCAGAAGGAAATGTCATTGGATTCATGAAACGCGGATTGGGAGAAATCCAGCAATATCTGACGGGGCTAATAAACACGGGGCATCCGTTTTGGGATGGATCCAGTATTGACAGGTTTTTCGAGGAAGCTTGCGTAGAATGGCAAGACAAGTAAATTGAATGGCAGGGATGCTGCAGCCCTGTAGTCCGTTATACTTTCCGTGTTGATTCACTATACCTATATATCAACCCTATTATACTTCTATATTCGCGAACTAAACTGAACGAAACAGCTTAGCACTTTCATCCGAGGGCCTATTTATCTGAAGGCATACTTGAAGGGCCTGCTTAAAGGGCCTGCTTAAAAGGCCTGCTTGAAGTTAGGATCTGAGGTACACACCTAGAGCAGGCAGATTCAATCCACAGCATCTTCTCATTCGTGCCTGTCCTCACTCAACAAAGTGGTATGATAAAAACAGTCTCCTGCCTCGGCCTACTCTACGTGACAATCAATATCTTCCTCGATTCAAACAAGAATTACCTAGATCCAAGCAATCTTTGAAAGGATTGCTGTCGAGCTTCTGCCTCCGCTTCCGTCCCTCATACTAGTCACAAGGTGCTCTATACTCGCCAAATTCATCAGCGGTGGGAAGTCAATAATTGTTCAACAGCCGGTTTTGGACCGAGAACCCTTCAGTGGTGTTGCTTTTTCACGAGCATGATAAACCTGGCTTTAGCTCCAGGGCCTAATATAGCCACACAGCTACTCAAAGGCACAAACCCTACCCCAGCGCAACTCTATTTGTCCTCCCAATTATATCGTATTTTGTCACCTCCGTGCCTGCCTCGGGATGGATTTTCTTGAATGACTCCTCGCCATACTTGGAAGTCCCAAAATTAAATAGCCTGGTGGTTGCCAGCGAGAGCCAAGCCAGGCATCAGCTTTCTAACGGCTTAAGTAAACCGAGGTATCGTGGCTTTTAGTCACGGCTCAGCGTGAGGATTCTATGGTATCATTCTTACTAGAACGCCACACGAAAACATCTTAAAATCTGTCAGCCGAGAGCATTGGCAATTATATGCCATCAACATCGTTGACCCCGATGATGCCAACAAAGGAGTTGTTCGTTTCAGCCAGCCTCCGCCAAAGGAAAGGCGACGGCTTGCACACTCATCAAGAACCCCAACGGCTCAGTGCCCAGTCCCCATCCAGAAGCAAAGTCAAAGTCGGCGCGGAGAACTTCAGTATACTGGAGGGCTGCCGAAGTAAGCCTCTGCCACTCACGCCAAATTCCGCATGGCAATTACGGTCATTCGAATCTCAAGACGACCAAGAAGGCTTCCCCTCATCTTGGAATGCTATTACTCTAGCAGATAATATCCACGGCGTGTTTGCGGATGAAATTGAGCTTCAAGATCTATGCCAGCCATGCTTTCCAGATACGGAAGCGCCTCTGGAATGCGACGATGCTGGAAACGAGTCTGAGAGTCGGCCACTACTTACAACAGCACGTAGATACAAGACCAAAAGCCACCGTAGCTCGTCACGGTACAGCAAGACATCAATGCGGATGTACTGCAGGGTAGAGGCCACAGCTCTAGGACGATCGCAGCGCAGTGTCTTCGCGTCCCTCCCATTGTCTCTCCCATTCTCGTCCTTCCGCATGACGCGGGGTATCAGAAAGTTGTTTTCGGGATACAATCGACTGTGCAACGTTTCAAAACCCAGGTGCATTAATGAACATGACTTTTGGCTATTGTTGAAAAGATTCTTCGGCCTGGTGCCACTTCCGCCATCGCTTTCGGGGCTTTTCCCTGCCAATGATGAGATCCCCTACCTCAAAGATTATTTAAGATCCAAACCAGTCCCGGTACAGCATAGCGACAGTAGAGATAGCGATAGAAACCTGGTCAAAATCTGCACGAGGTTGGCAGAGTGGGTTTTCCATCCCCAGTCACCAGCTACAGATTGGGAGATGTTCCAGGGATTTGGGCTTGTTCATCGATTTTGCAACGAAATGGAGTGCAGAGAGCTGGATCCCTCGAAATTGACGGTCCAAACAGCGTGGCTTCGGGTAAATTCTGCCTTTTGTGCACACTTTCAAAGCATCGGTACTAACGCACATCCAGAAACATAATATTTCTTTCCGGAAAGGCCAATGTATGTTGCAGGTTTGGGAGACTTTGCGGTATTTGCTGTTAAAGAAAAAGCATTTTGATCCGACGCAGATAATAAGGGGCGGGCTCCATCAAGTATACTTGGCGCTCTTGACCCCGGGGCTCAATGCCGACGGTCGCTCCGGTAGCACACCGGCCACTTCTCCAAAAGGACTGTCGCGATAAGGTGGGCGACATGCGTAGGTTCTGAGCCACTGACTCTATTGGTGATCTTTCCCCCGGCGCGCTGTTCGTAGTTCAAAATTTCCTCATTTTTCATTCAGTGTCCAGCTTCACCTGACATAATCTATCTGCTACTGTAGCTTCTACTCTCTGACGAATCTGATGTAAACGTTCTTCAGTAAAAAAAGATTGGCATAATTACTGCATGATGATATCTCTTCGAGTCATCACTTTTCCTCCCAACCAGTAAACGTTTGGACCGGGTCTTTCCTATTAGCGCTCCAAATTTGGAACACGCAGGCTGTCGAGCCTTCACATACGGAGAAACATCCTGGCTTGGCTACATTATCACACATTTTCTTCCTTGTGCATATGCTCATAATAGGCATTTTGGCAGTGTAGGACGACCCCAGCACATGAGTGGAGTGGTGTGCGCTTCTCAACGTCTCCGGCACATGAGCATTGAACCAAAGTTGGATTGACGTTGAAGAGCATAGACCATGGTCTCGGTGCCGCCCGTGGCATTCACAAACCTAGCTTGTCAGTGGAAAGATTGTAATAGACCAAAAGTGGGCGTCTCATCATGTGCCACTTTTGAACGGTGCGTTTGGGGCCAGGGATGCAAGATGTAACCTAGTACACAAACAAAGTCGCAATTCCCCCACTGTCAACAAAGAAACTTATCAAGTCGAGTGTACAGTCAGGGCATTCCATTCCAACCTCGATTTCTTCGCAGACACGCTGAAGCTCAATCAATCATCCTGATGGCATTTCCAGGCAACGGCATCCCACATGTTGTGGTTACAAGCCCTGGTCCCGAACGCCTGGTTTTAGAAATTATTTGCCCGAGGCTCCGACCATGTATGACATGTGCAATGAAACAAGTTGAGCCTCCAAGGTACCCACGTCTCATTGGGTATTGTCGAAGGAGATGGGTCGGACGCAGAGAGGCACGAGGCTCCTTGCTCTCTCGCTTCGGACCGTCGATACGAGACTGTCGATAAAACAGGTCAGTCCCAAGTGAAGCCAGAAGATCTTACGCTATGACCCATGCGATACTTGGACTGACCGTTACTTTGGATACTCGACCGTTTCCAGGTTCCAATTTACTTCAATGTTAGTTTTGATGCGGGGATTTCCTCCTCCAATCAACTGGCCAGTTCTGCACGATCGCATGTCGAACTCAATTACAAGACGGGGCTTTGTGTAATTGTTAACCAATATTATGAGCTATTATTCTAACCCTGTGGTACAATGTAGTAATTTATTTCCGTGATTTTTTGGAGATCGGTTTCCCAGGACGAGTCAACTGGCCAGTTCTGCACGATCACACTTCCAACCCCATTGCAGGAAGTGGCTTTGTAGATTCATGAATGGATACTTTCAGCTACCATCCTCACTTTGCGCTTCATGTTAGATTTATTGAACTATCAGTTTTGAAGTATTGGTTTCTGAATTGGCCTATCGCCAGCCAACTGGCCAATTTAAATCATCCAACCTCTGCCCCCATTTCCACAAAGTGGCAAAAGATAATGTATATTTTTGCTTTCAAATAATCTGAACTGCTATCATGGCTTTTTCACCGAATGAACACTGCTGTATGCCTCAACTCAGGTTCTGAACCGCATGTAGGGCTACCATGTAGAATATGCATGGCCATATTATTAGTTATCATCCAAGCAAATTACCTAATTTGTGAAGGAAGCCAAGTGGGCACAAGAACTTGTGAACAATACCCACGGGTAGGGGACAAGTTCGGGAATAGGTAGGAGAGACGTTCTTGCTAAACCCCCACAGCGACTGAATGAACTTCGTGTATGCGAAGCGGTCGGGCGGCAAACGAACCGAAGAATACGGAAGGAACATTGCAATTTTACAAGAGATCAGATACTGCTAGACGCCTAGCGGCTCATTTGGAACTGTATTGGGAGCCAACCACATCAACCGTGGCGGGCGAACCCGAATAATCACTTGGAGATATGGTGTATTGTAGACCATATTGCGGCGCAAGATCCCATCCCGCACGGCACCCAGATCATCACACCCCATTTGATGCGAACGAACGTCCTCATGAAACGTATCAACTCGTCCCCAGATAGGACGCGGTGGAAATTGCGAGGGAGAGAATCCAGTGATATGAAGTTCCACCCACTCCATCCAGAATACACCTAACTGCTCCCTGATATACTCAAAAATATCTGCTATCCCCGTTGAGTTCCCCATCACATCTGGACCCTCCCATTGAGTAAATGGAGACGATGGGGAAGTGGCCACGAGGATGAAATGCTTGGCTGAGCGTAAGCGATATGAGTTTGTTCAATGGGTCTGACCACCTACACCAGGAATGGATCCCTGGCCTCCCCCACTCTTCTGAAGCCATTTCGGGACGAACGGTTGCGCACTTTCGACCGGTGCCTTATGCGTGGGCTGCTTCCGGGCCTGTTTTGCTTCCCCTGGCTCTGTTTTGATTATCGGCCGTTGTGTGAGACCTGGCGAGGACAGGGAGTTGAGGGGTGGCCGGCTGCTAAAAATGTCTTTTTTTCCACATATCTCAGAAGCCTCACACGAGAAACTACTGATTGAAGAAGCAGACTGGTTGCTTTTGCAGCGTCTGGATGACATCTTGGAGTTGGTCGTTCCTCGGCCTTCGCTGAGGATCGTTGGGACAAATACGCACGCGTTTGCAGGAGTATGCCCAAGGAAAGATTTTGAACATCGAGGGGGTACATCACATGTTTATATATATGTGCATCTTCTTGTGTCACTGACCCAATATCCAACGGCTATCCACCAACGAGAAGATCATAGTGGATTTGCGTGGATGTCTGCGGTCTGACCCACAAGAAGCTAGCCCTTTGCCCCAATGGATATCGCACGCCATCCTGACATTCTCCATCTGAGCCAGTGTGTTGGGAAAGCCTGTTAATATCTATCTAGGTAGGTCACCGTGACATCTTAGAGTAGAGGAGATCGCAAATGACTCCTGGAACAAGACCCAAGATTAGGCTGGCACCTTTCTGCAGGATACACATAACACAGACTTGTAAGAAACGTCTGCCTAGCATCACTAAAGGGCGTACATGCATTTTTTCTGTCCATGCACGGCCATCAAGCTGATTTAAATGAGAACTGACGTCCAAGAAAATCAGGCGACAGGTAGTGATTGGGCCGTTAAAGAGAGCATGCTGTAGATAAGAGCATGACCCATCATTTGCTCTCAGAGATTCATTACCAATGCGATGTAGAGTCCGTTAAACTGATCCCCCCTCTTTAGCTATCTTCGGGGTTTTATTCCTATCTCCCCCGCGGCCGGTAAGCATCTGCAGCACAAATGATCATAACACCTCGATACATGGGCTTACCAATGATAAATTTTGAGCACGTGCAAGTATCAGAATAATTCATGTATCTTTAGCTGTAGTGTTACGATCACGTTGAACAATGTGGGATTACAACTGTCAGTGATCTGATAGGTGAGATGAAAAGCCAGCAAACTGCCCATGTCAGATACTTTGACTATGAAGGTATTATTTTGAAACTCTTATGTATGGAAATTCTCAAAGAAGACAAAATCAGAACCCCAAACCTTTTCTTGTGTCCTCACCTCATCGTGAGAGGCTCGTCGATGTAGTGTACTATAATGAAGCATGTCAGGCTGGTCTTCCACTTTGCGATGTTCGGAAGATACCACCTTCTAGGATTCAAAGTCTTTGGGTTCTGCAAGCCCAGCCGTGACTAACACAACCTTTGCACTCTGTATATTCTGGTAAATTGCCCAACCAATGTGATTATCCAAGAATTTGAGCAGCGCTTCATCGCTTATAGGCACAATATTCTCGATCCGATTGAGCCAAACATAAATTTTGAGGCAAGCTTCTTGCAATTCAGATATGAAGTTGTTGTGACTCGTCAGACTCAGCCTTCGCTCAAGGTAATTTAACACGCGACCAAGAAGTTTTGTGTTGTTCATATATGCAAGAACCTTTTCCGATCTTGATGTGCCTACAGCATGATGAATATGGTCTGCCAAGTCAAGAAGGAAGCCAATATCCTGTACTTGGGTAAATAATTGGTACAGACAATTGATATGGCACGTAAGAGCATCGTATCTGTGGGTGGTCTGCATTCGTTGCCTTTCTCCCATCACAACCAGTCGTTCCTTCATTGATACCAGAATGGTTGACTGAGAGCGAATCAGGATGACGTAGCCAACAGTAGAGTGGAGGAGTCGAGACTGGACTTACGCATTTTGTCTTGTTACTCTTAAATGAAAGTGGCTGCTGCGGTGTCCGAGATAGCCGTCGAAGAAACAATTTTAATTGCCAAAGTGACACTTCAGGCTCCATATTACTTGAATAGGATGTGCTCTGGCAGAAAATACTTTCCATCCATCGTGGTAAATATATGATCCTCCTGTTGAAAGAGCCCAAGACCCATTCCAGGATGTAGTGCGCCCCTAAATTTAGAACAGACTTTCAAAATTTGGACACATTGGCAACGTTTACGTCTTTGGACTTCATCGTTCGACACAACCAATCATAATACTGAACTGCTGAAGACGATCCATCGCCAACTCAGGTCTGGATGATAAGCTGGCTTTGTGACCAAAGTCCTAGCATGACAGTAGACAAGAACATGGTGGTAGTTTATTGAGCCAATCGTGATCGAATAACCGTGAGACTGAGGTAAGAGTGAATTTTCATATGCTATATATCCAATACGTGACATCTCTCCCGCCCCCTCAAAAGACTTACATGGAAGTCGATACCCCTGAGCCTGGCTCACTTCCCCATCCAGTTGTTTCTTTTTTCTGTATTTCCTGTTCCGTGATTTCATAAAATTTTAGTTTCTAGCAGATTCAGTGATATTAATTTTCCGACGTTTTCTGGGTGGATGGACCAAGTTCAGCAGCAAGAATTGAAGAAACTCGTGCAGGCCGTGCACGCGGCGCTTTTCGCAGGCCCATATAATGATGTTGCCACCGATGCGATCATACATCTTATTTTAAGAACCTCGAGTTTTGGAACCGCCGTTTCGCCATTCATTGCCAGTCGCTGGAGGATATGAAAAACCTCGAGAGGTGTATAGCCAGTAGACAGGAGATGGAGAGACAACGGAAAAATCAAATATCACACATCGTTCTGATCAACAGAAAATGTGAATTTGGTATTGAAACCCCTACCTGCCACTTTGGTTACTCTTACTGAGTGTCACAGCGGAAAGATTATCACGCATCATGGAGGGCGGGAACATGCGCACAACTTCTTCACCATCGCGCTTTCACATTGCCCTTCCATGTTGGTGGAGGCGATTGCAGTAAGTTATTTGATACAAGAGGTTTATTGAAAGGTATACAGAAGCAAGCATCTGGCTCCCTGGGAGCCATACTGGATAACTTTGGAGAACTATTTGAAGTTCATTTACCAAGATTTGGGTTTCTTTCGATGCCTTTGGGATCTTTCTAGCGCTATCAACAATCGCTCCGGGATCAAAAGTTAGTTTGAATCGTTCTCGCCTGCAACCCATCCTTTACCCAGGCTGACAGACTCGTGCACTATTCCATTAGTTTTTGTCATTCTCTAGTAGCGATAAAAGCCATTATCAGAGAGCAATCAAACAGCCTGGATGCCCCCTGAAGGGCACATGCTCCTCTGGAGATGCACGTCTCACTAATTTACAGAACTGTATGCTATTACCCCATTTTCTCGGTTCAAAGCCCGCTTGAAAACTGTAGCTCGTTGCTCATATAGACCCTGAAAAGTTTAACGAGCAAAGATGGAGCTAGACTTGGCTGTGGACAAATTCACATGCATTCACAACATATAATGTAAAAATGTCAGAGCCTACATCATCGCAATGGGTCATGGCTGCACACCCCTGTGGAAGTTATGATCGGAGCAAAGTAAAAGTCTTTAGTAATTGTAATCAAGTAGCTATTGTGCTGAGACATGGGCTTCTTCCATCATGTTGCAAGTGTAGGCAATCAAAATTATCTGGTCGGCCTCCTAATTGGAAAGTATACCAGGCTACAAGGGCGACGTCTCATTTTCTTTGTCACTTTTACAGCCACTCCGTGAAGCTTGCCCTTTACTGGTTGGAGATGGCCCACCCGACACTGATGAAATACGGTTTGGTAAAAAGCTAGAGCTGCTTTGATGTCTAGTTTTCTCTGTAATGGTATTATTGTGGTTTCACGGGCCAGTGTTGCCGACCGTGGTCTGTCATACGAACCGTATGCAACGGATATATATAAGGGCCATCGGTGCAGCTTCCCAGATTTCTCGCACTTCAAATTCGAACATCAAGAAACAACCACCCACAAAGTGCGATCTCCTTTGGTTCCAAATAACTCCAGCACAGAAAGGACCTGATCTTGATGGGCGGACGTTGGGACTAGCTTGGACCATTATTGCTTTAGACACAACCCTAGCTCAATCAAAAGATCTAGATGAACATGTGAGTAGGAGCCTCCGAGCATGTTCGGTAGCCTTGCTAAGTAAAAAGTAGCGTTCATCCTGACCTCGAGGCCGAGGGATACTGGGAGCTTCAGATTTTACGACATCGCTTTATTGACTTTATCATCCTGGTCATCTTCATCTGCATTCTAGCTGGGGGTGCTCTAACCCTAAGCGAGATTAAAATTGATGATCCGGTGCCGACCCAGTTGTCTGAAGGGATGATTTCTTCTCTATTACCGGCGTCTGCGCTACAAGGTGCCGTGCCGCTTAGACCTGTTCATACATTCGTGGACACCTGTAATCATAGGTGGTTATTCCAGCAACGAACCCGGGTTTGACATATTCTCTAGTGTTAAAGTGAATCTTCGATGGGTGGATGAGAATATATCACCACAATAGCTGATAAAAATATTGCCTGGAAACCCGGAAGGATGAAAGGATAGCCATGTACGTAGAAGAGCGATGAAAGAGTCAATTGCTGCAATTGTTAAAAAGCTACGAGGCAAGTAGGAATGATGACCGGTACGACCGTACAATATAGATAATCTAACAATAGATTACCGAGGTGTTTAAGTCTGGAGATTCTCATTTGTATGAGAACCTCCTTATATACCAAAAAAACTCTGCCTTAAGCTAGTCCTAATTAGATTTCCCAGGTGATGAATCACTGCGGTTGCCGTCATGGCTCATTCATGGCATAAACCATGGCCGGCCACCATAAATCTCAACAGCAATAAGCACTTTTCGGAAAAGAAACCATGAGCTCCATTGCTTTGTCTGTTATAAGTTATCAGCACTGTTTTGAGGCGGAAAGCTTAAGTTACTATTTGCGAACTATACCCCACATAGCGCCATCTCTAACATGTCCAACGACCCATAATGTTCTTATGATTACTCTATGGTCCCACGAGAACAGAAAAGATTGTCACCTCTCTACAAATGTCTCTCAATTTACGGGATAAGGAAAGTTACAAGAAAACATAATAAGAGCCAGGTTTGCAAAGAAAACCCAAGCCAGTTTGGGGGTTGGTTGATGGGTGCATAGAGCTATATTTCTACCTACTGCAAGAGAGGAAAGCTCAATTCAATGACCATGTCTTGTAATTTCTTTTGCATCAATGCCAACGTATCTCGCCCAGCAGTCTGGTTTGTACTAAGCCAACTTATGGTCTCGAAGATCTTGGCTTGAGTTTTTTTCGTTCGTTGGACCTGGGTGACTTTCCCGCAGTGATGGCGCTGTTAAAAGCATAGGAATGGGACTTGAGGCTACGCATGGCTTGGAGACGGACAATCTCAGCCTCGTCGTCCTCTTTACACTTCTTAGCCCCTAGAAGCATGCGTCCAACATCCTTCATATTCAGACGGCCCTTGTCGTCAGATACCGTGATCACCGTCGGCATCCACAGTAAAGATGACTCCAATATGGGCTGCACCCAACCATGCTTTGGTTTGTCCACGGAGTCCAAAGTTACCAAGCAATCCGCTGTCTTTGGCACGGGACTACTCGCCTCCGAAAACCTGTATCAATATACTGGACTGGGTGTGGGGAGAAGTCACAGATCTCGTCGCGGGACTTGTAATGCTAAGCTTGTTCAGAGGTTTGTCCCTGTCTGCTATTTTAATGAAGAGGAATAATGAAGAGACCTAAAGAAGTTGAATGCTCTTGGTTGATTGAGAGGATTCGCCGGACACTATAGCAGCCTAGACAGTGGCACCATGTGTGACGGCCTCATCGGAGTTCGCAGATTGGTTTGCCTCTTTTGGGAAGAAGTCGGAAATTAGCGCCGGTATCTTGGGGATCCGCATTCAGCCGCCGACCAGAGCAATCTCATGGACGAATTGCTTGTCAGTCTTTGCGTCCTGGAGGACTTGCTCGACAAGCCTCATGGCAGAGAGTCTCAAAATGTTTGCAAGTGAGGAAGGTGTTCAAATCAATCCCGTCAAGAAGGGAGTCGATGTCGATGATTGCTTGGCGCGCTCACAGGCCATGCGGAGGCGCTGCAGGGCCTGGGAATCGGTAGTCAGGTCCCTGTTGTGCTGACGCTGGAACTCGCGGGCAAAGTGATTTACGAGGCAAATGTCAAAGTCCTTGCCACCAAGGTGAGTACCACCAGCGGTGGCCTGAACCGCAAAAATTCCGTCTTTGATCGCTAAGAGCGACACGTCGAGAGTTTCACCGCCCATATCGAAACCAGAACCTGGTGCTCTTCAGGTATTTCTTTGCTGATGCCATAGGCGACCGCTGCGGCAGTGGGCTCGTTCAAGATTCGGAGGATGTTGAGGCCAGCAATGAGCCTGGTGTCTTTCGTTGTCTGCCGCTGGGAGTCGTTGAAAGACGCAGGGACTGTTATCACGGCGTCGGTAACAGATTCACCCAGATAAGCCTTCCCGGCATCACGAAGCTTGGCAAGAATCATGGAAGAGATCTCTTCGGACGTGAAATGCCTAGTCGTACCTTTGAAGTCGACCTCCACAACGGGATTCGAGTCTTGGTTGATAAAGTGAAAAGGCCAGTGCTGCATATCAGCCTAGACCTCGGGGTCATGAAAGCGTCGGCTGATGAGACGCTTGGCATCGAAAACTGTGTTCTGTGTGTTCATCGGAAGTAGGCAATTTGCAGCGTCCCCAATCAGGCACTGACTGCCCTGGATGGCGACCAATGAAGGGGTGATACGGCTTCCCTGCTTATTTGCAATGTGTTCAAGCTGATCAATGCGAAATACCCCTATGCGAGAGTAAGTGGTACCCAAGTCAATTTCGAATACACGCCCATGATGTCTTATGTGAAAGTAGGTATCATCTGAGAAGACGAATGTCTTGTGTGCGTGATTCAAAGCTAGAAACGTTAATATATAAGGCGTGAATCATAGTAGTAAGCCAGGAAATATCGGTTCTCCGAGATTCTTGCCCTTGGTCTTATAAGAAAGCTGTCTTGCAACTAATACCGACAGGAATAAGATATCTCGCCAGTTCACGCGTCTTTTCAAGGATTTGAAGAATTTCTTACTTACCGTGTGCATTTTCTACCTTTTGCAAAGACACAAGTGTTGTACCATACCTCATTCAGATGTTTGACTCCCTCGTCCCCGATACATATTCGTACGAGTTGCCTTCGGAGCTAGGCAGGATGGTGCCGTAGTTTTGTTTGACGCCAGCATATGCCAGAACGCCGTCTTCAGTGTTGAGGAAATGCCAACGTTGCAATGCTAGGCTCTTTGCGGCATATGTGATGATAGTCGACGGATGCGCTCAAAGTAGCTTTCAAATCTTAACTCTCTTCAATTTTTGAATTTTTGTTAAAATCTGTTTTACATCACGTCATGCGTTTTATTAAATTTTTCTCGTCCCTGGCCCATAGATTGACAATATCTCATTACGGCAAGAAAAAATTAAATCAGAAATAACTATCGTGTCACGGTTGTATCTTGCTTGTAAACAGAGAGAGTGGAAAATCGATGGCAGTGTTGCTAAAAAAATAACCAAATATAATCGGGCATCGTAAGCCTTCCTATGTCACCGACCGCATATTCCTGGTGATGAACGTCTCGAACAGATATGCAGCTATTCTAACGCGATAAGCGTATTGGGCGCTTCCAGGAACCCTTTGATTCTTAGGAGCCCAATACTGTATAAACCAATGTCTAGCTTCTGGGGATTAGGTTACTTTTGCGCAGGATTTTGTGCTCGTTAACCGCTGTAAGAATCAACGGAATCAGCACATCTTTAGCCTGTCAACGCCGGTCCTGCACTCTTTCTCAATTTATCTCAGCCGCCCACCCTATTCTCTATTATCCTGTTAGTCTCATTGACTGCCATATTGTCACTATGGGGATTACACGCAAAATCCAAATGGTGCAAACACATCAACAAGTTTGCTAAACGGTTAAAGAAAACTTGAACTTTATTCCTCCTGATTTTGGCAATGTTTACGCCAGATATATGGTTTACAGTGCGATTGAGAAGAAACGGCTGGATATCTTAACATGGATACTTGAAAAAAAAATCTGGAAACTCGGAACAATTTACACTTGGCTGTGGTGTACGACAATTTGGAGCTCGTTAAGGCACAGAGGGAAAAGATTCCTGAACTCGGTTGCGTTGTTGATAGAAATGACTGGACTCCTATTCATCTCGCATTCGGTAAATTTCAGGCCCCAGCCGCTCGATTGCTGCTAGAATTGGACTGTTAGCACAATTATTACGGTTTATCGAAATTGCCTAGGTCATTTAGCGATAGAACCCCTCGCAATAAATAGCTTAGAAGTTCTAACAATTTGGACTTATTGCGGTGATACCAAGGAATAATCTCACCACCGAGCACTGGTCGTTTTACGCTGCTGTAAACAGGAGGTTATGTCTCAGACTAAATAATGCAGAAAGATCGACTGTTTCCGGTAAAGAAATCCTTGCTGTAGCTACTAGTCCGGAATTTGCAGCCCAGTAAATAGCGGAGCTTCCACGTAGACTGTAGAAGCGAGATTTTGTGCGAAGTAGGGGATTTATACCTCTTCTGGAGAGCAAGACTTTTGTCACAAGTAATTAAGCTCATTTGGTAAGCCAAACAGCGTCATTGAAGCTTTTGCGTGGCTTTCAATTAAAATAGAAGCTCGCGGAATTGGGAAAAGAGACTTCAATGCGAGTTTAAAACTCAATTTTATGCGTACTCACACCTTACGCTGAGTTTAGACCCAAGTTTAAACGCAAACCAGTTTCCCAAAAAGTTTCAGCAGCCAGACCCTGCCAAAGATGCATGCAAAAGATTTTCAATTCTGAGCCTCGTGGGGCAAGTTATTCGTTCTAGGCTAAAAGCAGAGAAAGGTATTGTTTACATATGATTACTCACTTTTATGAGTGATGTTTGCTATATACTGACTCGACTCTATCAATTGGGTCAATCGCTAGCTCTAGTCATCCTTTAGGAAAGATAATCATTGTTCCAGAGAGTTTCTGTTTGAACGAAGAACACCCATCTTGCAAAAACTGAAATACCTCGTAGGATCCGAGGCGATGAGAACTAGAACACTTATTAGGCCTAGCTGTCTTTCTTCCCGGCTCGGGGCGCTTCCAGATACAGTCTTTTGATGTCAGATGAGATGCCAGGGTTTTAAACGACTCCCAAAATGCAACTCTGTGCCTAAAGAATTAGGTAGGAGGAACTGATCTCGCTCTGATGCATTTTTTTACTTGTCATCAAAGAGAGAAGTTCCAATCATTCTGTAACAATAGATTTATTTGATGTCCCAGCCTCATGAATATCTGTCGTGTTAATACACCACAGTATTCTGCCAGTTGTACTCTTTTAGAGTCATGAGTCCTTTAGACAACCCACACGGACTTGATTCAATTGTGACCTTTCCTTATCATACGATCGAAAATATAATGCTAGCATTTTGTGATAAATTCTATGAAAGAACCAAGATCTCTCGGACCCGATTGCTGGTTTGTTGGCCTATTTCTCAAATTCTGCGACAGAATTATGTCAGTAAGTTACAAGACCAGTCTTGTAAATGCAGGCTTTTGGCCTCGGACACTAACCACTTTATACGACATCCGCCTTTTTTACCGTACCTTGCGATTACCCGTTTAATGATCACAATTTCAATACTTCACAGAAATTGATTGGCCAACATTCGATCGCACGTGAAGATCTACATTTCGTAGAGAACCCCATTCTATCACTAAGATAATATACTACCGAGGTATGATGAAAAGTGCAGAGGCTGTTACCACTGTGGTCATATCACCGGTGTCTTTGTCCAGCGTCCTGATTGACCCCTCCATCTCAATCTTCCGTCCCTTGACTTTGGTTGGCCACGCTTCTAGAAATAGTTCTGCATCGGGTGATACTGGTCGTTGATAGCTCAGCGTCAGGTTTGCAGTGACTGCAGGTTTGCAACAGTCGGCAAAAAGCTGGTCAATGAGGAACGCTTGGTACCCCCCGTGAAGCTTTCCTGGATAGTAGCAAACTCCCTGGCTAGGAGACAAGGCAATTGCGGCACGAGCCCTATTTCCAACCTCACTCAGTTGGAGAGTGGGAGTGTATCCTTGGAGAAGCACAGTTTGGATTTCGTGTTCACTGGCAGGATGGTCGAAGCGGTTACCGAGGCTTTCGCGATGAAATTTTATCTAAAACCGTTGCTATTAATAAGCCTGTCAAGTATCAAACTTGGATTTGGGTCGTAATTACCTTTTTTCCTATGCCCAAGAAAAAGTCTTTTCGAGCACGGAGCTGGATGCATGATCCGTTCCATAGCATACGAAGCAGGCGCTGAGTTTTGCCGTTTTCTCCTAGTAATGAAGAGCCTGGACGGACATGCATCACCATGTTGGGATTCAGATAGAAGTCTCTTCTCCTAGGTAAAAGAAAGTGGTCCGACTGATACATATAATGCGATACCCTACACCTAAGATCTAGGGTGGGTGGGGCCAGAGTGGATTTTGTCAGCTGTGATAGTATACATGCAAAATTCAGAAAACGTAGTAACCATTTGCAAGGTCATCAAGCTTAACTCTTCAAACTTAACGTGATGTTATAGAAGAAACACGTCATGGTAATATATTCGGTTGCTGGAACGAATGGCCCTCGACATGATCAAGGCTTTGGTCAGTCATGCATAACTCACACAGCTATCTAGTATGATTGCCTTCCTTTGACTGAGTTACTTACATATCTCATATCATGATCTAGACATGGGCAGTATCTTGTCAGCCTGTCACCAGTAAGTACAGGATTATAAAGTGGATATCACGACCAGTTTCCAAATGGCAAAATACAGTAAACCTTATTAAATGCTCAATCCGTCTATCGCCAGTTTTTTAATGTTCACTGTGGCCCTCGATATGGTCAAGGCTTTTTTCAGTCTTATGCGTAGATAGAAACTCACACAGCTATTCCAGATAGCCCACACATGACATATTATGGTCGAGGCAGAGTTATATCTTGTTGCCTATCACCAGCAACCACAGTATTATTACGTGGGTATCACGTCCAGTTTCCGAAAAGCAAAATACAGTATAACTTATTGGATTTTCAATCCTTTTATCACGAGTGATTTGCTGCTCACTGTAGCAAAGCACCCCGTGTTTCCCTGCAATATCTTCTTAACAGGATCTAATAAGTCCATTATATGGCAAAATTCTCTAGTGACCTGTTGCTTCAGGATTCTCACTTTGTACTGCGCGAAACTCGAGTGGTATGCACCGGTTGTCGAGTATAGTGGGCGCCTGTGAGGCAGTGCAGTAAAATAATTTCTCTCTCGTTGCTATAGCTCTACCAATCATGTCTAGAATTAGGTCAAAATTTGTACATGTCTGAATTGCTATACTATTACAGTACAGTAGATCAGTAATAGTTGCCCTTTCGGCTCAGCCGCCGGGCGTTAATGAACCGTTTGTACCATTATGCAACAACCGTTCTATAGCTATGCTTAGCATCTAAACGATGAACAGCGTTGACTTTTCCCATGCTTACCAAATATCCCTGAGCTACGTGCTACGAGATCAGAAATAGCACAGACGTCTCCAGACGTAGGCTAGCGATCGTATAAAATTACGGTTAATCAGCCCATGATTTATCCAGTCCCGTCTCCTTGAGGGCCCAGACGCGGGATCTTGTTCTAGGAATGACGTACTGAAAGACTGCATTGAGGCAATCATGACGGCCTTCCGAGAATCGAGAAAGGAAAGTGTGTCTCTGCCAAGAAAGAAACTGACCTTGTGGCCCGAAATACACATTTTTACTTAATACAAGGACAGCCTGGGACGACATTCTATAGATAGTCCAAGTGGGCCGTAGAGTAGGTTTCAGAGATAGAAAGAAGGACTCGCAAAACGGAAGCAAGATGGCATGCTGAGAGATTTATTTCGAAGACAAGACACTCTAATCTGAGGTGGGATATCACACAAAAGTCGGCAAAACTCCCAGAGACTCTGCAAAGACAGTGTATTCAAGGACACTTTCCCAAAGATTGCTCAAACATGCCCTCAGAATGACAAAAGTCCTCGAAATTTACTCACGCTATGCCCTACGATCTTGGTGAACAGCATATTTCGCACTTAACAAAATACAAACGCGATTTGATTCAAAATCTGCTTAGGCCTGGGCCAATAAAGCTCAATCAAGAAAAATTTTTGCGTCAAGTAGACGTCTGCTACATTTCATGGGTAACTTTATTGCTCAAAAAAGCTTAACTCAAACGGGAAACAACTGAGCTCCTTTGCACGATCCATGGATCCAGAAAATTGTTCCAAGTTATACTATGAAGACAAAAAGCAGTACCTATAGATAATATATTTTATCAAGCATCAACGTAGCAAAGGAAGTGACTTCAGTACCAGCATATACAAAAGAGGTCTTGAACGTCAAGGCGGTAGTGATTCACATCCACGCTAGAACTCCTGGCCCCTTCATCTATGCCAGAGAATAGTCAACTTTCCATCTTCCGCAGGGCAGGTTTGGCAAGACATTACATCTAAATGAGAGAATTGTGACATACAAAGATAGTCCGGGAGCTACTGTAGAGCATATCACATCGGCTTGATTTCACGTCAAGGAATCAAAAAATAATGTAAACGTTCATCAGAATAAGTCTTACGATATCCGACCTCTCGGGGAAGGCGAGCAGAAAGGATAGAGTACAGAGTACATTTAAATGTATAAGCAAACTCCAAAAGTCTTTTGCTGTTGATGCAGTCGATAGCGTGAGAATTGACTCGTCAACATAAGATAAGTACCGTATTACAGTAAAAGTCCGTGGGGTTCTCCTGCTCTGCCATTCATGAGCGGAATAGGGAGGTAGTACCAGAATAATTTTGGGCGAGGGTGAGACTTGGATCAAAAGCGGCGAATTGTGAATGGTTTTTTGTGATCACCGTTAAATATTTCGAGTTGAAATCTAGGAATGGTATATCAGAATGTGAGAGGGAGACCTCCACCGGTGGGTTCTACGGAGTAGAGATTAGTGAGATGAGAAAACGCCTGGTCGGACGAAGTATCATTAGCTAACCAAATATCTTGGAATACGGTGTATCCCGCAGCTGGGCTATTTTGACTTAGATCTCCAGTTGAGTAAGACACATATGCGATATTTTACCTTTAGGGCGCTTGGTGCTCGTGTGGGTTGAAGCACTTTTTTTTTTGCAACCACGAACATATAATGCCGTTGGTTATTAGCTTGGGGCTGAAACACTTTGGCTGGAAAAGAGGGATAAGAACTCCGCGATTCAGTCCGCCAAAAGTCATCAATCAGCTAATAAAATGGGAGATTGTGACAGCTTCTCGGATCGATCAGGGCAGCCAATCGTGCTTACACTGGATACATGTAAGTGAAAACTCGAACAGCAGTGTTCCTAATTTCTGGTTTGCGTTTTAATGTACCCATCTCCTGACCTCATCCCAGATCGTGCTTAGATATTTACAGCAGCTTAGTTATAGAAAGAGATACCACCAATCCCATCTTGATATATGTCCTCGCCTGTTTCTTCTCGCCTGTGTCCGGTGGCCGTGTCGTAGGTTACATCGGCTAGTACCACAACTCGGTAATTAAAGTTGGGCCCTTGTTACTGAAATGGAGTGTTCAAAGAATTGATCAGAGAACATAAAAAGTATAATGAGATAGATTGCAAGACTTCAAAAGGAACAGCAACGATCGTCGTCTATGAATGGCTCTTCTCATGTACCAATCGCAGTTGGTAGTTCCCAGAAGTAGCTCCTGCATTTCCATACATCATTCACAGTCAGATTGTGTTTTTCACCCGGTTTCCAAGAGATTGTCAGTAGTGACGTCGATCTAGACGTGATAACTCAGGGCTTCGATCAAATGTATACGCCTCGCGATATCGATAGAAGTGATTTCATGCTTATCGCAGGAGATTTGTGCCCTTCCCGTATTGAGAGAATGCGCACTTTCTACAACCCTCAAGGTCTTTCCTCGCTTGGCAATGTCGACATGCATTGTGTAATCCTCTACCAAAGGCAAGGCCGAGGCAGCCATGGCCAAGCTGATAAGGAGAGCGCGGAGTTGCATTCTGGAGTTGAAAGAAGGATATCAATAAGCACCGGTAGACATAAAGTACTTGAGTAGAAACACTATGCCGGTTGAGGTTAAAACGAAGTCTGAGGATGCTGAGGATTGGGGGACTATGAGACACAAGATATGGGACCTATCTCTTTTATACGTTTTCTCACGGTGTGCCACAGAAACCGAACGAGATCATGAGCTGTAAGACCAACCTTGACATCGTAATGGGCTAGTCTTTTGATGGTTCACCTTTTTGCCGGGCACTCCATAGGGTTATACAATGCTAGTACCCCGTTTAGATCCATTGACACAACAGCACTGGGTGATATTATAATAAAGATATACCCGTGAGCCCCTTTTCCTTGCGACTATTCCTAAAATCATCGACTTGGTGTTTTTGTTGTCGTTAAGTACTGTTAACTTCGACAAAGTATCGACTATACTACTCAGAATCATCCTCGCGCCTTCTGTGCTCTACTATGAATCGCACGGTATTTCTAGCCATTTTTAGGAATTCTTTTCAATCACAATGACACTGAACATATTGGTCTAGACAGAGAATCAGTTGTCAAGTCAGAGGAAGGCCACAAAAGCAACATGTCGCCATGACCACTGCTTATTCGAGCTTTGTCCTTGAATGTTTGGCTCCTTGGAACGATCATACCATTGATTTTGTCTATGGGGAAATTTGCGCAGTTCTGATGCTATAATAGCATCAATTTATGGGTTATGTCCGAATCAATTATGTGCTTATAGTCTACATTGTCGTGGGTGAGCCCTACGCATAACAGATCTAATACTTCGATTTCGGGTTGGATATGCCAGCATCATAGCTTAAATTTGAAAAAAGAGGATTCTGACGAAAAGCTTCATGCCTTAGTTAATTTAAATGAGCTACAGTTTGCCGGTCTCCCAGCCCCAAGATTGATGAAAACTAGAATAATATAATATCATTGCCGGCAAGCACATCTCTGTCACTCATCAGAGTAGACCTCTTGTTTGTCTCTAGGTCGATATTTTCGATTAGAAGGCTCTAAGGTGTCACAGCTCAATGAAGATTCTGAGCTTCCAGCATTGACAGAACTGCCTGTCAGTGGGCGGATATGTCAGGAGGAGTTCTACGATGGCCCCAATGTGCTGCAGAGTCTTCACTGCTTGAACTTCATCCGGAAACATTTGGACCTCGATCACTACGCAAAATCTATGAGTCTCCCTTTAAAATATCGTCGGATCCACATTGACTGCAATGATCATTTTCGACAGTCATTACTTTGCCACAGTGATCTCACACCCGTCACCATGAAGC